CTTGTCTGGCATAGTAACAGGGTTGAGTAATATATTGGAATTAATTAATTGATATTAATTTCTGTCAGTTCTAATTGGTTTCAAAATGGAATTTATTGAATGGCTTTTAGGGATTGTCTCAATAAAATATTTATTGTTGAACATTGTAAAACATTACAGCATCATCAAATCAGGGACACAATCCTACAACCATTCTGTTTTAAAATAGATATATAATACTGTGAATCATATAACATCAGTATCATTAAATTTCATTACAAGTAAGGCACCATTCATAGGTATGGATTGGTTCCCAGAAAACGGTCATATTTACCATACTCTACTTAGAGTAGTGCCATCTATTTTGAAGGAAAAGAAGATATAATATACCACTACCAAAACAGGTCTTAAAATTTTTAAATTATAATACAAAAATTAAAATTTTGTAAACCTGACATAATGTGTTATCTAGGAGCAGTAGTAAGGCCAGCAGATAAAAAGTTTTAGTAACTGAGAGGTTCAGTCATCACACTCTTCAGTCTTTTTTTTTAGGGTGTTACCAAATAGAAACACCTATCGGAGTGCAGAGAAATGTATCAAATATGTATTTTGACCATTAAACATTGCTTAGATCAAGAGAATACCAGAAAATATGTGCAGTGCCAAATATATAGAACTAATTCCATGTACTTTTGTTAATGAAGTGATGGTTCTTTGAGCAAGTACGTACTGTGACAGTTTGTGAACAGGACTTCAGTATAGATCCTGTCATCGAGAGGAACAGAGGATGATATACTCCTCAAGCATTTCTAGTGCTCATTAGAGAGAATCATGCAGTCACAATGAGGGGTTTATCCCCATTTTCCAGCTATAGTGAAGAGATCTCAAACTGTAATATCATTCTTTTGAAGTGACTCAAACCCAAGCACACTAATCAGGGAGTACGTGACTTGAATCCCAGCAAACTTCCTATGAATTGTGACTTGACACCAGTTACCCCTGGTACCCTCACGGTTGAGTGCTCCGTGATCAGAAGGTTGTGTGTTCAAATCACGCCCTGAAATAAAAATAGTTGATAAAAATAGGTAGGAACTGTACCTTCGCCAAGCGCTTGGCACTTTGAAGTTAATTTAAAAGTTGTGGGTCTTTTGGATGAGACCTTAAAAACCGAGCCCTGTGTCACGGTATGGAGTTGGCACAATAAAGAACCCTCAATGCTCAATGACTCTGAGTGCTGAGTAAAATTTTAAATTTGAAGCTCTTCACCGGTATATGGTGACATTTCTATGTGAGTGAAAAAATCTCAAATGGGACATAAAACAACATTCAATCAATCAGTTACCTCTGGTTAACTACTCATGAAATGACTCAAATACTAGTCACTTTGTGACTTGAACCCAAGCAAATTTCTCATGAAGTGACTTGAAAGCTAGAATACTATAACTCATGAAGTTAGTGACCTGGTCCCAGTTCTATCTGTGAAAATTTTCTTCTCAGGAATAATGAATTGACTCTAACGCAATAAGATTCTTACTCATTGTGATTGAGGCACTCTAACCCCAACACACTACCTGCCTGATGATGTACCATAAACTTTGCTAATCAAGCTACTAAAGTGGGGACAAAAACTTTGGCAAATTTCTTTTGAAAAAGCAAATTATTAGGGCCCCGCTCTGCGGGCGCCCTATAGTGATCAGTCTGTCCGTCCATCTGTCCATCGGAGATCTCTTGTCCAGAGCATATCTTCTCTCTCCTTGGCCCAATCTGGTTCATACTTCACCCACAGAGTGTCTTTGGGTAAAGGATGTGCAGTGAACTTGAACCATGTTTCTAGGTCTAAGGTTAAGATCAAAGCAGAACTATATGAAAAATCCTTGTCTGGAGCATATCTTCTCTCCTTTCGATCCAATGTGGCTCATACTTCTCTCACAGAGTGCCACTGGTCAGTGGATGTGCAGTGACCTTGAACAAAGTTTCTAGGTCAAAGTCAAAAATAGCCTCTCTGTTTAAAATCTTTGTTTGGTGCATAATTTCTTTCTCTTAAGTCCAGTCAGCCTCAAACTTTACCAATTGACTTAGGGTACAGAACATTTGTGATTTTTCTTCCATATTTTGATAGAGGATATGCAACATTTTGATTTTTGTGCCATTTTTTGATAGAGGGTATGGAGCACTCGTGATTTTCGTGCCATTTTTTATTACAACAAGGATGACATAGAAACCCTTTAGACTCAAACAACACATCCCTTAATAGTACACAAATGTTCCTCTTCAAATTAAACCCTTTTCAGCTACCTTACATTTTCATGTTCGTTGCTGAAAGCGGGGCCCTTTGAGATGGCCACCATCTCAATGATATCTAGTTTATTCTGATTTGAAGATTTATGAACCCAGCCATTAATTGGCTTTTTTTTTTCCTAGTAGAAAGATTAAAAGGGTTACAGAAAGAAGTTCAGATAATATACAAAAACACAGTATACAATTCCACGATTCATGATTTTAAAATGTGCACCTGAATATGCAAAATCACATTTTTTTTGTAGGAAATCAATGTTTGAGACCTTTTCATTTGAACTCCATTAAGCCCAAGATTTCTAACATTACAGTTGTGTGACTAATGGTAGCTATCACTTCCTGGAAACGGTTTGCTTCTCATCTGACACCATAATCTGGGAGCTGCATTAGATTGACATGAAGGTTAATCCAACATTCATCTACAGGAATGGTCCCCAATAAATATTCCCTGTTAAAAAAAAAACAGTAATGTGTATGGAGATCTTTAAACAGAATATGTGGTGAAATGAGAAAGTCGATCATCATTTTAAAAAACTTAAAATAGCAAAAATGTGATGGGTTCCATGGAATCAGCTTTGAATTTTTTTCATTTTAATCATCAAGTTAATGTTAATTCAAAATTGAATCTGTGAAACATTATATTGAAGTCATGGAACGAAGATATACACGTAAAAATTTGCAAGTGTCTAATAATTATATGTATTTCATTCTGTCTAGTTCAGTGAGGGATATACACATGTATATATATATACTTGAGTTCGTTGTGTTCTGAAGAGGAAGCCTTATTAGTCACTCAATTGAAAACTCAGTCAAAGAGTGCATTCTTGAAGAGTTTAAATATTTCAGTATGAAATTGACACTTCAGCTTGCAGGTAAATCATTAAATACAAAGTTACTGGATTTTTTAAAAATCAAATTCAGAACTCATTTGGTAAACAAAGTCTACACATCCATGTTGTGAATATGTGACGTGCAGGGTTGTATAGGATATTACGACTTAATAGATTTTTATCGCATAAATACCTAGTATTTATCTTTTAAACAAACAAAGGCTGTTCTAAATTGGAACTAGGCACAAAAATGTGTTTTTGTTACAGACTTTGAGTACATGATGATTGTGGATGATTACTTCTGAATTATTGAACCTAAGGTTTCTTACCAATTGTTCCAAGGACGAGCCTTAAAGTCAGGATGCTTTGTGGGAAATACACAAATATTTGTTTGATAAATAACTACTGCAGTGTGCCATCAGACTTGGCAATGGATTTATTTGGAAAATTAACATGAATTTATTTTGTCGATTTTCTGATTTCTTTTATGGATAACATGGATTACCAAGACTCAGGATCTTTGTCTGTGATGGCTGTACAGGCACCAATTCACCATGGTAACCGTTTTCTGGACTTCTAAAATGTGGACATTTGAAGCACTCCATGTTCTGTGAAAAATTCTATATTCTTAAAATTCTCTAGTCTTTAAAAATTTTGTACAATTCTTTTCAATATTCAAAGATATGAAAAGAAAAATTTCAGTGTTCAGGTTAAATAATTTTGTTGATCTAAGACTAAAACTTTCAAGGATTACATTTTTTTTTTTTTTTTTTGGTTCTGTGGGTTAATGTCATAAAAATGTGACTAATTCATTGAGTATATGAAATTTTTTGATTCAGCCACTAAGTTTTTTTTCAAGCGGTTAATTAAAATTTTGAAAAAAAGTTGCTTTAAAAGTAAGAGGGGGTGTTTTATTAAAGACAAGCGAACATACTGAATCTAGGTCACACATAAGGCCAGAGACCTACTGTTAATGTTGACTCAGTCAACAGTCACAAGATTCTGTTAATAAACCAATGTTAAATAATGGAGCATTATTAAAATCGAACAATGGAAGAAATCGTACCAAGTTTCCCCATTACTTAACACGTTTAGGCTTCGTAACATCTATTCTGGAGAAGTACACTATTCAAACGTTACTCTATACATATAGATGGGATAAGGAAAGGGGCTTTGCCTTTTTATTCTTAAGTGAAATAAAAATTGAAATTTTTCCTTCATCAATGTGTATTGTCATATCTGTCAAGAAACCTCTGTGTTGATAGGTTTATGAATGGTGACGCTTAAAGTCAAATGACTTGCATGTCACCTTTGGTGCACTGATTGAAGCTGTATTTGTATATTTCTTACCAAGATGTTTCAGTTTGTATGCTTTGTGATAAGAGTTTCGCACCTACGGTGTTGATAATTAAATTCTTTCTGCAGGAAGCTTGTAATTCGATGTATTGTTCAAATGATAGGTCTTAGTGATACATAAATTCCTAATTCTGTATTAAGTCCTTGGTTTTAAACATCTGAAGATTATTTTTGAGGGGTACCCAATACCTGTTATAGATTTCTCACAAACAAATGTGAATGTTTTTCATTGCAGGTTTATAAATATTTGGAGCATTTAATAACTGTATTCTATTTACATATATTAATCTTGTGAACAAATGCATTGTAAAATTCACTTAACACTTCATTTTAAAAAGTTGAGAATGTATCATGTTTGAATTTAAAGTAATATCATTTTAACTAGGGACTCAGAGTGAAAAATGACACTCCATGGGTTAAGATAATCTTCTTTTTCAAAACTTTTTAGAACTAATCTTTGAATGAAACCAGTCAATTTTCTCAAGTCAGAATACTAACTGTTACATAATATAGTTAATTAAATTCATTTCATCTTTGTAGCTCGACCACACAACCATGACTTTGGAGAAACGGAATCAAACGTGGGACCTCATCATGGGGCATATGGGAGAAATAGGGGAATGTATGGAAGTAACGCATTTCACCCAGGGCGGTTCTTCCATGGAACTCAACCACATCGACGCTGGGCAGGGACATTTGGCCATGCCAACAGAAACACATACTTACCAAATGCTGATAACATTCCACTCAAGCCAAAAGTTGTCACAATAGTCAGAAATGGACACAAACCACGAAATAATGTGAAAATTCTCCTCAACAGGAGAAGTGTGCAGTCATTTGAGCAACTTATGGCCGATATTTCTGAGGCCTTTGGACCAAAATATAAAAATAACAAAGTGAAGAAACTGTTTTCAATTCGTGGGAGGGAAGTTCAAGGAATTTCGGACTTTTTCCGTGATGATGATGTGTTTATTGGGGTGGGTACAGAATCTCTTACTGATTCAGACATTGTTGATATTGTGGAGGAGGTGTATCCTGACAGCTCAATGGCAAAAAGTGTTCTGAGAGAGCTGGAGAGAAATAAGCGTAAACACAGGAACCTTGCAAAACAGACACAGGCTGATCATGATGCAGATAAGCGAGACAGTGGATTTGGGGAAGGGAGTGATGGCAGCAATAAAGAGCAGGAGGGAGATTATGTCCTATACAAGGGCAGGCCTCACGAGAAGGGTAAGCGAAGAAATGACTATCCCAAGGAGTATGAACTGGCTGGGAAGTTAGAACAAGAGAAAGATAAAGCTGTTCAGGAAGAACGAGACAGGACGAAGAAGAGGCAACAGAAAATGATGGAAACAGAACGAAGGGCCTTAGATGAAGAGAGACGGAAGAGAGGTTTAGTTCCCAACAAACCAGAAGATCCTTTCAAGAGGATAAAGGAACAGAAGGAGAAGGAAAAAGAGGAAGCAAGAAAGAAGAAGGAGGAAGAGAGGCTAAAGAAATTGGAGGAGGAAGAAAAGGAAAAGCAGAGGAAAGAACAGGAAGCCAGAGAAAAGGCCATCCAGGCTGCCAGAGAAAGACAGGCAGCTGCTGAGAAAGCAGAGAGAGAAAAGGCAGAGAAGGAAAAGGCAGAGAGAGAGAAGATGGAAAAGGAAAACAAAGAAAAGGCTGATAAAGAAAAGGAGATTAAAGATGCTGCTAACAAAGACAAAACTCCAAGAGATCAAAAGACAGAAGCTGTCAATAAGGAAAAGACTCCCAGGGATCAAAAGTCAACCAAGGAGAAAACAGATCCAGCCTTAAAGGACAAAGAAAAAGAGAAAGCAGAGAAAAAGCGAAAATCAAAATCCAAGATTGTACGCAAATCTAAAATGGAGCGGCAAGTGAGCAGTGATGAACACGTCACTAATAAATACGACTTAGGTCGAACTCTGGGTGATGGGAACTTTGCTATTGTGAGACAGTCTAAGTTAAAGTCAGGTGGAGGTGAATTTGCCATGAAAGTGATAGATAAGCCCAAACTAAAAGGCAAAGAACACATGGTGGAGAATGAAATAGAGATTATGAAGGACTGTCACCATCACAATATTGTGAAGTTGTATGAGGAATATGAAACGTCAGACAAAATCTACCTAGTCATGGAGCTCGTCAAAGTAAGTTATTTACTTGCAAAGCACCTTAGGACTGATCTTTAAAACTCATTCTATACATAGTACTCTTCATCATGATTCTATTACCATTTTCAAGGAAATTTTATGTTCAAGAAAAATGTAATCTATGCTCTTTAACAGATTTTAGTGCAAATTTAAAAATTGTTGCTTTTTCTTTTAAATTTTTCATTTTATACATTGTCCTAACTCTTATTTGTCTTGCAGGGTGGAGACCTGTTTGATGCCATCACTCAGAGTGTGAAGTTTGGAGAAGTGGATGCTGCTCACATGGTCAAAGATTTGTGTAACGCTCTTTTCTACCTCCACTCTCGCTCCATAGTCCACCGTGACCTCAAACCAGAGAACCTTCTTGTGAGTACACTGTACAGTATAAGTATGTTTGATGTCAACTATACGCATGACATTTTTGTAGATGGCACATTCAAATTTTGGTCCTTTTTCCTTAGATATACACATTGTCAAGCAAGAAGCAAGATTTTTATTCCAATGAAGATCAATGTTAAGCCAAAATCTTACATCACCCAAGCTTAAGAAAAATCATCATGAATATAGGAAATCACTGTTTCCCCATTTGGACATACATGTAGGCTATATGCTTCAACTTTCTTTTACAGTTCCTCTGTCCCCTTTGCCATTATTTCAAAATATTGACATTATTATACTATTTTACTTGTTCATGCTGACTTGCTTAGCAATTGCCTCTTGCTCATGATGCTTGCAGAGGTTGATTCCATGCAAAGAGACTTTGCATGCAGTAGTTATAGAACACCTTTAAGTGACAACGAAGAGAAGTTCTATGAAATACTGAAGAACTTATACACTCAAACAAATGTGCAAATTAAATAATAAAACAGGTATCAGCTACACTTTTTCTTTCCATTTACTTAGTACACATACATTTATATATGCTTTATGCAAATGTAGAATTCAATCTTAATGTTCAAAAAAAAAAAAATCCTGATTCATTTTAAACACATCATCATATCACCCCCTCTTAAGGAATTTGTTTTTAAAAGAAGATTTTATATTTCTTACAGGTACACAGGAACAAGGATGGTTCTATATCTTTGAAACTGGCAGACTTTGGATTAGCTATGGATGTAAAGGAACCTATTTACACAGTGTGTGGAACACCAACATATGTAGCCCCCGAGATCCTGTCAGAAATAGGTAAACCCAAGAAACTAATCCTAGTTTTTCAAAACGGATTTTCTGAGTTTATTGAACTGTCTAGTTTTGGTTGGTTGGGGGGGGGGGGGGGGGGGGGGGGGGGAGGTCATGAGAGTAGATTTATATATACATTTGAGCACATGGTAATTTGATAAAACATTGGAGCTGAATTAAATCTAATGTTTTAAACTACTGTTAATCAAATTTTTGTGACACTTTATTTTTGTGAGAAAGGTTTTAGGAATTTTATAATTGAGACAAAATTTTCATGAACTCTGGTTTCTGCTGTACATTGCCTTAAAATGAAAAAATATACACGTGAATTAAATTTTCGCGAGCAGAGGGTCTCATGTAATTATGTGAAAATAAAGTTCCCGCAAATAAAATGTGATTTACAGTATTGGAAGTACAGTAAAACTCGTTTAGTACAAACACGGATATAGCAAATTCATGGATATAGCGAATTTTTCTTGGATCCCCAGCTATATGAATTTAACGAATTTCTTATACGGATATAACGAATTACGGATATAGCGAAGTAATTTCACAGTTCCCAGTGACTTCGTTATAACCGAGTTTTACTGTATTTCTTGTACCAAAATTGTTTCAGACACCAAGCACAAATAGAAATACAGATGACATCACATAGCATATTTGAGCTCATAACTCAGCCCCAAAGCGTTAATTTATAATTGTCTTATCATCAGGAAATGTAGATATTTTTACATAGTTTTCCAAAACAAAGTTCTTGTGAATTCTTTGTAGCTTTAATTAAAAATTGCAGGACACATGAAAATTACATCTCTGAATAAATGCTAAAAACGTATACATATAAGATTTACAATATTTGATCTGTGTGAAGACCTTTAATAATTTTAGGACAAATATGTTTTATACTCATTGTGAATTCCTAATATTGTCTGTTTTGTAGGTATTTTTTATTTCAGTCAAAATAAGTTTCACAACCAGGCCTGATACTAAATGTTTGTTGTTTTCAGGCTATGGATTGGAAGTAGACATGTGGGCTGTAGGGGTCATTACATACATCTTGCTGTGTGGATTCCCTCCCTTCAGAAGTCCAGATAGAAACCAGACTGAATTATTCGAGTTCATCAAAGCCGGGGAATATGAATTCCTAAGTCCATACTGGGACAACATCTCACCATGTATGTGCATATCAAATTGTTGTATATTTGTAGAGATAAATTGATGAATTTTCATAACTTAGTATCTTCATTAGTAGAATTGAGAAAGTTTCACTTGAAGACTTCATTGAGATACTGGTTATTGTTGCTTGGAAGGTCAATATGAACAGTGTGCATTGTAATCTATAATTAAAAACCAGAAACAAAAAAATGTCATTACATGTATTTCTTTTTTTTTTCCAACCTTAATTATGATTTTGATATAATGAATTTACAAAGGTGTACCATAAATTTATTCTTAAACAGATCTGAATCTTGATTTTGATTAATTTTAAGTCAATGAAGAATGTCAAGTTGATAAAGTACAATTCATTTATTATCATACTGGGTTATTATCATACCTTTTATTATCATAGATTTTTGAAACACAAAACCATTGCTTAACCATTTATTGTAAATTCCTCCTTATATCATAGGTAAAAATTGTTTTCTAATATTTTTTTTCACCCCATCGAGACACTTAAAACAAAAGATCACATCTTTAAATTTATCTTGAAACATCTGAATCTTGATTTTAATTAATTTCAAGTCAATGAAGAATGTCAATTTGATACAAATGTACGTGTATATGTACATTTTATATCCAATCATTTCTGTAATTTCTGTCTTCAGATGCCAAAGATCTGATAGAGCACTTATTAGTAGTGGACAAGAAGAAGCGCTACACAGCCATAGAAACACTCTCTCATCCCTGGATTTTATGCAATGGTGACATGTCACGGCCACCAGATGCCACAAAACTGGAGGAAATGCGGAAGAATACACGTAAAGAACTAGAACTGCAGGCAAAGCAAAACTATGACTCTTACCAAAAACTCAAAGAGAAACGAAAGCAGGAACAGCAGGCAGGGTCGTGATCCCTGACCTACAACTACCATAGTGATGACTGCAGTGATGTGTAGCCATAGCATCAGAAGTTTGTAGAAAATCATTGATTTTTTCACTGTGCCAACTGCTGTCAAAGTATTCATATAAAGGACAGCAAACTTATATTTCCTGTTTGTGGACATTTTTATAACAAAATTTGATGACTTTTAAAAGTTTTTTTTGTTGAGATTTTGCATCGGGTGTAGCATTGATACTAGTTTGAGAAATATTACTTTGTATATACTTTTTAAAAAAAGATTCCCTTTATACTGAGAAGGGCTGTGCTAAATATAATTTGTTTTTATTGAATTTGATATTTTTTATGTCAGTTATTTTATCAAATGTAGGTCTGTGATATGGGAGAATAATTGTGTTTTCAATGTTTGTTTGAATAGATGGTGGAAGTGTGTATCTTTTCCAGACTTATTTCTTGCAAGTAGATTTCTACACTTAGTGAAAGTTGAAAGGTTTTAAGTTTGATTACTGCTATTTTCATACATTGTCTGTTTGAAATATGATATTAATTTAAATTACACATTTTTGGTAAACTGTTGGGAAAGAGCAGAATCTGAGATAGAATAGATGAAAAAAAAATTCAGAATGATTTTTTTAATTCATTTGTATTCAGAAATAGAAATTTATTAACATAGTTTTGGTAAAAATGAGTGCAACTGAATATGATATGTATGTCATATATATTTTATGAGGATAAATCTTTATATATTTATGTAACTTTTCAAAGTCAGAATTATTTTATATATGTACTATTTTTATTAAGTCCGTCCGCATTAACTTGTTAAATGTGTGGTGTTTTCAGCCAGTTGTTATGTTTTTGTTACCTGTTTTTTTTTTTTTTTTTTTTTTTTTAGTTTCTGTATACTACAAAGGTCCACAATGGCCCTCTATTTTCCCTCTGTTGGTACCGTCCAAGTTAAGTAGTAAACTTGCTATAAAGGTATTTTTCATTGACATTTTTGTGACACATATTGTTGCATATTTATTTTAATTTTTTTTTTCTCACTAAATAAGTTCCCCCCCTAATCAGAGATATATCTGGAACTATTTGCTACAGTAGAGTGTACAGTTGTCTCCCCTGAATTGAACTGTGATATATTTCAAACTGACCATCTTAATATGTTGTTATTATTAGCATTATAAAATATGTTATCAAAAGCTACCATAAATGAGGACTTTATATATATGTTACATAGCAGCTATGCTGTTCTAATTTTCACTGTGTATATTCACATGATGCTTTTTTAATGTCCTAATTTTTTTTCCTTTCTTGGATTCAGACAGTACCAACTGTAAAAGTTTTTTTTTTAAATCTAGATAGGCAGGGGTAAATATTTGACTTGCATGTTATTGAAGTAGCAAGTAATTCCACCTCTGAATAGCTTTGACATATACTGTATAAACTTTCTAGATAGAATTGGGATTTCAGCATTAAAATATTTAAACCTGTTATTCAAGTAAATTAATTGTTACAGATTAAATTTATATTTATCCTAGATTTATACATAAACAATAAATGAAGAGACATGTATGCTCATATACCCATACATTTTTATAAACGATTCATTGCTAAATTAAGAAACATTTTCAACGCAGTCTATATCATTTATAAACTTAAAGTAAATGGATTGTATCAGATATTGATTTATCATTTATTAGTTAAAGATAAGGTTCAACATATTCATAGCTTAAATTTGATTATTGGAACTCTTCTAATAGAATTTTCATTTTCTTTAGCCAAGCAATACTTGCAGACATATTCTACATGAAATAATAAAAACCAACTATTGCCATCTTTTCGACATTCCAATGTTAACTTTCTCACATGTGATATGTATATTTCATGTTATGAAATAAATCCTCTATATATCATTACAATCTATTTTTTCTTTTTCTATAGCAGTTTTTGCCTTGTGAAAAAAATTAGTTGGGCAATTTAAACTATGCAAACCACTCCTTTAGTCATTTTATCATAGATGACATAGATGTTAGTTCAGAAAATATGCCTTATACAAAAAAAATTTAATTGAACAGATACTAATACATGGCAGTTTTTAAGCCCCTGATTCTTGTATAGGTACCATTACATATGAACTTTTATGTCTTGGTATCATGTGTTTAATTCAATTCAGTGAATATCAAAACTCGGAGAACAGATAAAAGTAAATGGGAGGTGAAAAAAGGGGGCATAGGAGGGTAAAGATTGAAGGGGGAACAAAGAAGATGAGGGGCAGAAGGAGATGGGGAGAAGAGTACCCCTACCCATTCCAAAATATGCAAGGTAGGGAAATCAATTAGAAGGGAGACGGAGATTGTAAATGTATGAAAAAAAATTATAAAAGTGGACAATAGAAAATTGCAGTAGCCTCTGTAACTGAAGCTTGGTTGTATAAGTTATTGAGTGTCTAAAATTCTTTATATCCTTTTCATGCTTTGCAAAGACATGATAATTTAGTAAATGTTCATAACTATGCAGAGTGTGTGCTTTCTGACCGTTGATAAAGATATTTTGAGGTCAAGAACACAGAGATTGACAATATGAATTTTTTTGTTCGGATCTTAAATTATTTTTACTGGTGCAGAAGTTCACATCTTCACATAAGGTTTGCATGTCATTGCTATATCTCCATGTGGTTTTCCACCTCTTCAGTATTTTTGACCCATGCAGTTTCAGACAATTGTGGATATATGTTAAATTTTCCCAAGTGCCATGAATGTGGTATTGTACACCTTCCATTTGTACCTCCTTTGTAGAAATGTTTAATATTTTATAATATTATATTTAAAAATGTGATCATACTGATATGATTGTAAATGCCCCCTGGGGATCCTTGATTGGTGAATAAACATAAACATATAACCAGTACGTGTGTTTCAAGGAAATGGACCAAGGTCATTTGAGAAATTATGGGGAATGGCAGGCGTAACTTAACATTAGGCTACAGAAACTTTGTCATCAGCATAACTATGCGTACTGAACCTTTACTTTACATCTTCACAGCAGTCTTTACCAGTTTATAGAAATTATCATATATGCTGGATCCGTGTATATTTACAAAGAGTCAATTACAATTTTCATTTACTGCAAACGTGAATATATTTATGCGTGGTTAATTACGCCAATTATTTGCCCTTCTGTAAATCTCTAGAATCCAAGAGCTTCCTGGGGCTTCGCCCCTGGGCCCATAGCAGGGCTTCGCCCTGGACCCACTTGGGGGCTTCATAGAGGTCTAGACCCCGTGCCTAATCAGCTGGCACCCCCTCTAACTTAAGATCTTGGATCCGCTCCTGCAGTTTACGATCCAAATTGCTCAATACATGTATCATGGTGATGGTTTCATTTGTAAATAATATAGACAAAGCGAAACCCCCCCCCCCCCCAGTCATATTTCATATTAAATACGATGTAAACAGACAAGCAGTTTGGGAAAAACACTTTCAGACGTGTATTAGACGTAATGATAAATAGGGGAGGATCCGAACCCCACATCACCCCCGGGTAAAATTTTCAGCTGAGTTATTTTCCGTAATATAAGTTTCCTTTCGTTTCTACTAAAGCCTACGTATAAGGTAAAAATTGTATTTTGTGCGTTTTACGAGTATTTAATATAACGCGAAACTTTTGCGAATATACGCAAAACTTTCGCGAATAAAAGATAACTTTAACATTACAGCGCAAAACTCTCGCCAATTAACGCTTTTTAGCTCACCTGAGCCGAAGGTTCAAGTGAGTTTTTCTATCGAAATTTGTCCGTTGTCTGTCGTCGTAAACTTTTCACATTTTCATCTTCTCATTTCTACAGAACCACTGGGCCAATTTCAACCAAACTTGGCACAGAGTGTCCTTGGGTAAAGGGGATTCAAATTTATTCAAATAAAGAGCCAATTCCTCTTTCAAGGGGAGATAATTAAAAAATTGAAAATTGAGTGGAGTAATTTAAAATCTTCTTAAGGACATACGCAACGTAGTTTGAACTATATTGTCTTTTTCCCTGGAGTTGAAGAGTTCCAATACTTAAAGGGACTGTGTGCTACATTTTATTGTCTGTATATGCTGTTGTACACTTATTATAAAACAAGTTTGGGTAAACAAAACATCTATAATATACGTTTAGTAATTTTGGTATATTTTTCTTTGAATTATACAAAAATTTCCATCAATTGACATCTTTTCAAAACCCCTGGTAATGCATGCTGATTTTTTGTCTACGAACATCTGATGGCACTATAATCTTAAATTAAGAATATCTTTAAAAAATATCAGTAGGCAAGGTACGTTGCGTATGTCCTTAAGAACCAGTGGTCCAGAAAAGATGAAACTTATGTGAAAGCTTTCTGGGGTAGTGTAAATTCAAGTTTGTTCAAATCATGCCCCCCGGGGGTAGGGTTGGGCCACTATGGACGATCAAAGTTTTACATAGGAAAAATCTTTAAAATTCTTCTCAAGAACAGCAAAGTTATGATTAGTCGTATTTATGCGGAAGCATCCTCAGGTAGTGCACTGGCGGATTTAAGGGGGGCGTGCTATTTTCAAAGTACTTTGGTTTTATAATTAATGATCAATTAATAAATGGTAATGACGAAGTATCATAGTATACATAACTAACCAATACCACTATTTTTGTGCCTGGTTTTACTCTTAAAATACACAAAAACCCAGAAGTTTCCGGGGGCTTCGCCCCCTGGGCCCCCACCAGGGCTTCGCCTTGGACCCCCTGCCTGAACGAAGTTATCCCCCCCAATCACAAATCCTGTATCCGCCCATGTAGTGTAGATTCTAATTTGTTCATGACCGCCGGGGGTAAGGTAGGGCCACTATGGGCGATCAAAGTTTTACATAGGAATACATGGGGGGAATTTTTAAAATTCTTTCTCAAGAACAACAAAGTCATGATTATTTATTTATACTGAGGCATCTCCAGGTAGTGTAGATTCCAATTTGTTCAAATCATGCCCCCCCCCCCCCCGGGATAGTATGGGGCCACAATGGCCAATCGAAGTTTTACATAAGAATATACAGGAAAAATCTTTTAAAGTCTTCTTCTTCAGAACAGCAGAGCAATGGTTACTCATATATCATATATTATTTTACATAGGAATATATTGGGGGAAAAATCTGCTGATAAAGAACAGAAGGGCCACAGTTACTGGGGTGAGCGTTGTGTCCTATGGGTCTTTTGTTTATTGTACAGGATATACATGTATTTGTCAATTTTTTTTAGGGGACGCCATTGTAATTCTACGAAAGCCTATTAGGATCAATCTAAGGAGAAAAAGAAATTAAAAGGTGTTATTACGCCTTTCGAAAAGGCGTTATTTTTGCCTCTTGAAGAGCCATTATTATGCCTTTGACAGGCCCATGCTTTTGAAATGGGGGGTTAGCCCCCCAACCAACCAACCCCCAAGAATTAAACACCCCCTCCCTTCCGAAAAAAACTAAACTGCCTAAACTCGAGGGGGATCTTTTGCTAACTTTTCGGTAAAACTTTTTTAAATGTAATAATTTGCCAGAGTTTAACCATACTGCAACAAAATGTTCAGGGACCAAGCAGCCAATAGCAAGACTATTCTCCCAAAAAGTGGGGTGGGGACACCCCCCCCCCCCCTCACTCGCACTCGTACTACCGGCCTGTTTGAAAAGGCGTTATTTATATCCAAAAAAGAAAGACGTTTTTCTCTCCTCGTGGAAAAAAAACAGGCAAAATATTTGCATGGGTATAATGAGCAATTAACCTTCAACCCAAATTTGTGAAATCCGTGACCCTTGGTAGAGGTGTCTGGCATCAGAGAAGGACTAAGTTGGTTAACATTGAAAATATATTACACATTTAAAAATCTTTTTTCCTGGAAATCTAATTACAATATGTTTAAATTATTTTTTTCTTAGCAATTAACCTTATATTTAATTGGGAAATTCATGTCCCGAGGGTAAGATTTCAGCTCCCGGGGTGGGCTAAGTTAGTCATGTATTGAATAAGGCCTTTTGGGAAGGCGTAATAACACCTTTTAGAAAGGCGTAATTACGCCTTTTTTGCATTTTTACGCCTTTTTTTCGCGTTATTACGCCTTTTCGAAAGGCGTAATATAACGCCTTTTAATTTTTTTTCTCCATAGATTGATCCAAATAGGCTTTCGTATTAATTCAGCCTTTTTTCTTATATACTGCCAAAATTATCTGGGGAGGTGTGTCCCCCTCCCTTGGTTCCTATAGGCCTGGGTTGTAGTTCCACAGGTAAAAACCCAACTCAGAAATTGTTAGCTATGTACAGTTTATACCTCGCCTCAATAGACAATAGACAATATTTATTTTCCAATCAAGAGCCCCCAGAGAGGCATGAAAGATACATTAGTAGACAGAGGCAGTACATTATCAATAAGGTGATAAATTTAAAAAAAAAATGTTAAAGTAAAATACATACATAGCAAGTTGTTGTGCTTTACAATGTCATATTAAATGATTAGAGAGGTAGTTTCCAAGTTGAAGTAAAACATTCATATTTTCACATGTAATGATTCAAAAATATTTTTGAGAACTATCTAAGCTATTAAAACTTTTATTATGTTTCTGTGCTTCATTTATAAGTTTGGTTCTCAAGTAAATACAGTTGATAAATATTATAAACTATTTTTCACTTGGGGAGGGGATGGGGTGGTGTTATTATTGTTTTCAGTGGTGATTTTGGCTGGAATGAAATGCTTGGAATTGCTACTGTAAATTTCTTCTACAGGTTTATAATAAAGTGACATAATAAAGCCCCCTCCCCCACCCCCCTCACCCCCACAAACACACACATACTTTATATGTATATAATTATCAGGTTATTTTTTACCATTACCGTTTGGTTATTATTTGAGCGACTCTCATCTGAGCCATTAATTAATTATATAAATAAGAGTTTTGATAGTGAAAATATGAAAATGAAACGAGATCCGCCCATTCTATTTTGTTTATTACAGAGCTAGTTGTCAAAATAAGTGGCGCATATACGAACATGAAATGTTTGAAAATAAAATAATGTCAAGTAGTAAAGAGATCATTTTTTGTCGAGTAAAGTATATATTGATTTTTTTCATATAATGCAATATCAATATACATATGAATTATCATCACGAAAACATACTACTTTGAATTCGAAACTAAACTGTATTGAGCAAAGAGCCCGGATTTTTCTGTTGACAGTCGCTCGAAAGTCAACTGAATACTTGATGGTAAAAGTGATGAAGAAGCCCTTATTGTGATTTTTGAGTGGTGAGAAAGTAAGTAATTTGCAGTTTGATATCTTCATTTAGGCGTTTTGATCATTAATTATTTGAATAAGGTTGTCAAAAAAGAATGTTTCCAACAACATGCAAGTTGAAATGGGCGCGTAAAATCACTGCTATAGAAAGTGTGAACGTTTTCAGAACAGGGTCGTTTCGGTCCGATGTAAGGCTCCCCTTTCAGCTAATATAAATAATGTATAAAGTTTTGAAACATTATTCACATCATGTAAAAGTCCAGTAAAACCTTAAAATGAAACTTACTTGAAATCGGGTCACAGTATTCATTGTATTTCTTTGGCAAGGAAATAACATTATGGACCAGACGGTAATTTGAACCATGGGTTGCAGGCATTTTAAGTTGGACAGGTGAACTAAGGTGTCACAGGATAGTTTTGGATTAAGCAGGTTGGGCACAATTCCCTTTTTCAGTAATTGTTACGCTAAAAGGGAATTGTTCCTCTTTTCAGTAATAAAAAACATTACTGTGTAGGGAATTTTCACTTGTTTACCCTCTATTTTTGCTTTGAGTAAAAGATTAATTAAGTCAGGGACCTATATACTAACGGGATAGGCAACTCCTTCAGTGCCATGTTTATTTACCCAAAACGGCACACACTACACTGCAAGTTTTTCAAACTATGTTTTTCCCCAGTAAAAAGCTTGTTTTCTGAGTAATGTAATCTGTTCTTTTTGTGTATCGGAATGGATATTTAATAAATTTTAAAGCACATATCATAAAATAATTTAGATATTAAGTAAACAACCACCAAAATCGTCAATTTCTCGGAAATACAGCCGATTAGGGGCATGCACTGATTTTTAAATAAACGTAATTACTACTAAGATAAGGAGTAAAAACAGTGCTAATAACAAATCTTGAGTAATTTTTTGATAGATAAATTAAGATTTTATTCTGAAATATTTGATAGCAAAAGAAATATATTTAATTAAAATTGACTTACGAAATTCCGCAACTTACGAGATATCGCGAGACTTGCGAGAGTTGCCTATCCCGTTAGTATATAGGTCCCTGATTAAGTGCAAGAATATTTTTACATCCTCTAAATATTTATAGTCTATTTAGTGTATGTATGCTTAAAACAACAATATTTATTGCTACAAAAAGCTTAAAAAGAGTGACGAAATATTTCTGTGATATAGATTTCTTACAGAAGTTATCTGTGTTAAAATTGTGAGTTTGAATACGTTCAGATCTTGCCAACTCGTACATGAAATTATTCGTTCTAATTTAATTTTATATCATTTCTTTCAAAGACATCATAAAAATAATTTTTTAATACCACTGCTTCTTTTACAGATGAAAATAATTATCTGAAATATTACATTTTAAAAGATAGCCATAGAAAGATGGTTTCAGATTGAATGCCTTTATAAGATTCCATACTTTTCATATCATTTATCAACAGGTAAAAGTAAAGTAAAAGTCCTGGATTGCTGCTGCATGTGAGTTTAAATTCCTATGCATGTTCAAAAAATGTCACCTCCATGAAACCAAGCTATGAAATTTTCCGTTTTTGAACAAATAATAATATACTTTTAAGGGAAGAGCATATTTTGGTGTTATAATCACTAGAATAATTTGTGTGCATTTGGAAGATATTGGTGCCCTTTGATATTAATCTCAGCGAGATTCGTTGAGACTTAAAATTTTGTACTGACGTCTTTACCGGAAGAGACGTCAGTACAAAATTTTTAGTCTCGACGAATCTCGCTGAGATTAATATCAATACATATTTGTCACATTTGTAACACCCCAAATACCCAAATAAATTGGTATAGGACACTGTTTAAAAAGGTCTTAGAATATATGGATATATATCCTGTGAGAAGGTCTGTATTTAATTACTTTTTTTAATTTTACTGCAGCTGTATTTATTTAGAAATATGTAAATCAGAATATACTATATACGCTACAGTATTTTGTTTACCTCACGTTTGTCACTTTGTATATACATGTATTAATCTTGTTAATAAATTTTATGTTATTAATGTTCATGACTGTATGCCGACATGGTAATTGTCAATAAAGTGAATTGAAATTGAATTTAAGGTCATTATACATGTATATTTTATCTAATATTGCAGTTGACCTGTGTGCAATGGTTATCGCCGATGCTGAGAGTCCTGGTCCAATGAAAAAGAGGCCGCGATTGTCCCTTAAGGTCCACAAGAACAGTGATAACAAAGATGATGTCAAAATTGAGAAACTGGAGACAGCATCCACAGAGGATGGAGAAGAGTAAGCATGTCGGCTTAAATTTTGTGTGAGAAAATTTCTTATTCAGTTACATCTAAATATTAATTCAGGATATCTTGTAGGTGCCACGAAACTGATAAGGAAATAAGTTTGGATGATTCTGTTATGGTGTGCAATTCCAAATCTGTGGTACCTGCAGCAGCATCTTTAGAGAATTTGGGTAGTGAAATATTATAATTTACCACATTTGATTAGTCTCTGTTGTCAGTGTTTGTTTACTGAAGGTAAATCTTATAGCAGATTGGGCTATAAAAGGAGTTTAATTTTAAATTACCTGGTATGCATTTCAACCTAGGATACTATTTTTATGGATGAATAATGAATTAAGAGTTTTGACAGTTTGATTGTTTATTGCAGGTAATACCTGTTTCTTGAACAGTGTACTGCAAGTGTTAAGGTACACACCAGGTTTTCTGCCTGGGTTAGAATTGCTGTATCAAGAAATTGTGCAGGTTGAAAAAATCAGAAAACAAGATGTACTAAACAAAGAGGTAACCAATAACTGTTTCTTGACAAATATTGAATAACTACAAAGGGAGATTTTATTTTGTATGCTATGCATTTCAGTTTTTTTCCCCCTGTAGGCAAGTATCATATAATTAGAAGCTCAGTTACTCAGAAAATAAAAGGTACAAAGAAAGAGGAAGGGGGGGGGTAGTAATCAATGCTTATAAGTAGGGATGTCAATGAATATTCGAGTACTCGACTATCGTTCGATCATACCGACTATCGACTAAAATTTTTTTAGTCGGATATTCGTTAAAAATTTGCTACTTAATAGAAATCTTAAATTCAAGGTAAAAAAAAATTGCACAGTTCATTTATTAACGTATCAGTGTTTAGTGTTTTTGTGAGTAAAACTCAGGGAAAGGCTTAACCGGTCTTCGTTAATTGTTCAAAGGAATTTTTTTGTTCGGCAAACATGCATTGGCATACTTTAAAAACGGTCAGGTCCCAATTGTAAAATTTCAACCTGCAATTCTGTAAGATCTCGTATAATGCAACTATCAATTAATGAATAATCATTAAACAGCTGGTACATATTTGTAAATACATGTAAATTGGGGGACAGTTATGAGCTTGTTTCTTTCTGATATTAATATCAATCATTTCAAAATTGTATTGAATGTTTGCAAAAAATCTCACAATTAAAATTTATCACAAGCTTTCTTTGTTTTTGTAAGAGTTAACCTTTAATTGTTTAACAATCACGGGTGCTGTCAAGACACATTCAAATGGCTTCAGGTAAGAAATCAACAACAGGTACATGTACTAGCAGCATGAAAATAAAGGATAAATGCGAGCGTTTAATATTGTGTATATAAATAAAATGTTTAGTTAAATATTATCTTTGAAATCAAATACATTGGATACATATATTTTTTACTACGTAAATGTTAACGATTCAATAATTCCTTGTATAATGGCGATAGCTTAAATTAAATATTGTACAGGCTGTATAGCAGTCTGTTAAAGACAAATAGGAAAAATGACAAAAATTAATTTAGATTTCAACGAGTACTCGACTATTGTTCAACTAAAGCCTCCGACTATTCGACTAAGCTGTCCGAGTAAAATTGACATCTCTACTTAAAAGATGTGTATTTAATTAAGGCTTCTGCCTCTATACAATATATCTGTTTTTGAAGCAACCAACCAAAAAAGGTATAAGTCTTCTTGTATCTAATGAAGATGTTATTTTGCTTTAGAGGAGGGGGAGGGGGTGAAGCAATGTTTAAATTGACGATTTCATTGTGTGAATGAGTATATGCATGTTTTTAAAAATATTTTCAGGATTCCAGTGTGTTTGACCCTTTAGAAGCCAATAAGAGCATACATCTTGTGAAAGATTTATATAGGGTAGGAATTAATTTATGTGATTTACTGAAATGTGACACTGTCATCTAGGAATTTCAAGTAAAATTACAAAAAATGAAAACACAAAAGTATGCAATACTGTATGTGTACTAATGATAGTAAAACCCACAATTATAAATTAATTATGATCAGTACCAAATACATGTGATTGATGAATATAAATGTCAGTAGGACTAATTGTTTCGCTGAATCACAAACAAATGATCTAAATATTGACTGTATATGATTTCTTTAGCATATTCAGAATTTAGAGCAGTTGAAGGGCATGTCATACTTGAACAGATTTTATATTTTTATGATCCTGAATTTGCTCACTAAAATTTTGTCCAGAGTTTTAAATCCCATTGTTCATACTCGCATAATAAGTTCTCATACAGCATATATTATCTTCCTCACAATCAAATGGAAATTAAAAAAATATATATATTATCTTATCTGTAACAAAATTAACATTTGCAAACATTTTCAGCTGTATAAAAATATGGAGCGGCGAGAGGAGAGCCATGAAGAGATGGCAACCTCAGATGTTATGTCCATGGCAGTCAAACCCCAGAAACTGCTCAACATCATCAGGTTAGTATTAGAATTCATCAAGTTTATAATACAGTCAAATCTCGTTATCTCGAACTCGATGGGACAGAGAAAAAACTTTGAGATATCCAAGGATATCTCAAAGATATCAGGGATGAAATACTTAAAGAATATGTGTTTGGGACTTCCAAATCACTTCAGTATATCCATGGAATTCGAGATATAAGTGTTAGAGATATCGAAGTTCAATTGTATTGGTATTTGTTGCTTGGGAGGATAATTGTATGTAGTAAAACCTTGAATGGCTACATGCTCTCTTTAGGTCTTTAAATCTCATTTGTGGTTCATATTTTGCGAATAACCATAATTCATGGAGTAGCTTGCTAATACCAGTATGGGAGATTCCATTTACATTACTGCTTAAATTACACAGGATTAATAGCTTAAATATATGGCAGGTCTACAGTATATGATATCCATATATGGAATTCAAAATAGAGTTTTTGACCTAATTTGCTTACAAAAATTATGTTAATTTTGATCATAGTTTTCTTGATGCTTTTTTATCTACAATAAATGTTGATTTGATCTTGTATTTTCAAACATTTTTTTGAACATTTAATTTTTCAGAGAGCTGAATCCAATGTTTGAGGGATGCCTGCAGCATGATGCTCAGGAACTCCTCAGATGTATATTGTCCTACCTCCAAGACTCTGAGAAAGACCTCTTCAGCATTAAGAAAAATGTCTGTGAAAAGTTGCCAAAAAAGAATAATGAGACACCTAAAAATTCCATCATGGATCACTTCCTGTCAAGGTGTACTCGGGTAAAACCAGAGAATGGCCCTAAAAATGTATTTCACCAGCCAGATATTTTGGATCAGATTGAACAGAGTGAGGCAGCCAAAACCAGTGTTACCCAGACCACCACACCAGTAGAAGCAGATACTGCTTGTCAGGTGCAGAAAGAGGTGTTAAAAACAGAGAGTGTGATAATATCTAAGCTCAAGACAGTTACACCCAGAAGGAGAAAGGCAAATACTGAACAGGAATCACATAAAAAAGCCGAAAACAACAAGAAAGTCCAGAGACAAAATACACCCAGGGCAAAGAAAGCCCTGGATGAATTAGATGGTGATGCAGCGTCTGCATTTGAAAGCAATGGAAGGAGGAGTGAGAAATTTCAGGTCAATGGTGTAGATGCAGTTGAAGAAGATATGGACATTGACTGTAACATAAAAAATGTTAAATCTGATAATGGGAAGGTGAATGGTGAGGAAGATAAAAATGAAAAGAAGGGGAAACAGCAGACAATTCTTGGAATGTTCCAAAATCAAAGGACAGGTAAAAGACTGGGGATGAGTCGTTCTGTATTGAGAAATACCACGACAAAGTCTGGCACACCTCGTCAAGGTGGTGGACTCCCCCTAAATGGTGAAAATCGGGATAAATCCAATCAAGATAAAGAGGACGATGTGGTGAAATGTAGGTCAGCCCCAAATGTTGGAAATTCTGTTTGTGGGTCTCCAACCAAGAGCCACTCATCTCCCGTGGTAAAATTGGAAAAATGTGACAAAGTCTGTAACAGCCCACTGAAGTCAGTAAGTGCCGAATTGGCCACCCAGAAATTATCACCAGGTAAATCTACCTCGTCACCATCAAAGGCGAATCCCAAACTGGCTAAACAGAAACTTGATTTTGTGGTCATACCTAAAAATAGAGCAAGTGCTAATGTGAACTTGAAAGCAACCAAAACAAACTTCATAGAAAATTTGTTTATGGGAAAAATGATGTTGCGTACAAAATGTTGTGAATGTGAAAATTGCAGGGAGCGGATCGAGGATTTTCATGACATAAGCGTACCAGTTCGTAGTGAGAAAGTGGAAGAAAGTGATGATGAGGAAGAGAAAGAAGAAGGTAGAATTATTAGTTTATTGTTTGTGTGTAGTTATCCAAAGATTTATATATATATGCTTAAAACAATATGTTACATCTGTAATATTTGCTAAAATATAAAGTTAAGATGGAATTTTTTAAAGGGGTTCTAAAGGGACATTGAAAGAAGAATGAGTTTTAAAGATTTGTGGGAAGGAAACTTTAAAAAATGTTCAAAACTTGGTTTGGGAATGGCTACACAAGTGAAGTATGGTGGTCACTAATTTGGGGATGTAAAGCTTCTAGGGTACCACAGGTTTAGCCATTACAGTGACCCTGTTAAGTTGTAGGACCCACAAACAAAGAAGTATATTCATCTCAGATATGCTCAGGACCAGAGGTGTTACAACTTTAAACTGATTACATTTTGGGAAAATTCAGGCCGCAGGAATTTGCAATTTATAGTTTCTTTGCAAGGAAGGTGTTTTAAACTATGCTTTTTAACTCACCTGAGCCAAAGGCTTACTAGTAGCCATATAGATTTTTTTTATTATGCCCCTCTTCGAAGAAGGGAGGGCAAATTGCTTTGCTGCTGTCTCTCGGTCAGTCTGTCTGTCTGTCTGTCCATCAACAGTTTCTGTTCAATTTCTTTGCAGAGGTTACACATACTGAAATGAAATTTGGTATACAGATTTATCATAAGAATAGCTAGGTCAAGTCCTGTTTTGGGTACGATCGAGCAATTTTTGACAGAGTTATGCCCCTTTGACCTAGAAAAATTCCAATTATTTGGGGGGGGGCGGGGGGGATACCGGTAAGTGTTTCACAAACATCTCTTGTTTAAACAATATTCACAGAAGTGAATGGGATTGGGCAGCAAACACAGCCTATTCTAACCCCTGTAGTCATATGGATTTTATATATTCAGTCTCAGCTTTGGTGCATATATTGGAATAATTAGAAAACATGTACAATTTATAAGTTAAAAATTTGTGTCATCTTTGTTTTGTAGACAGTGACTCCTGCTTGAGAAAGCTGATGTTTGCATTCACAGAAGTGGAACGACTGCAGGCAGACAACAAGTATTTCTGTGACACCTGTTTGACTCATGTTGAGGCTGAACGATCCCTCCATTACCAGGGACTACCCAACATTCTGACTTTACACCTCAAACGATTCTCTACAAGCTCAGGGTATTACATCTTTCTAAATATTTTAGATACAGGCCATGTATCAATGCGAGTCGAGGCTTTTCAGTCTACCATGCACCCTCCTAAACGTTTGGCAGATTATTTCACTTAAGCTGTGGCTAACGGTCTTCCTCTGGGTGTAACTCTAAATTCTAGCCAATCAGGTAACACCTTTTAATAATAAGTTAGTTTCCATGTGAACAAAAATTGGGTAACACAAATGCAGAGATGGATGTCATTAAAGGTACATTAATGTGAGAATGTGTATGTAGGAACAAGAACAAGGAGTGGCAAATTAATCTTTGATGAATGTTTGTTTTTATATGAAGCAATGATATATGACAGCAGTCTTTTCATTGGTTCAAATGGTCTAGCTTTGTTGAGTGAAGTATTGTCCAGTTTTAGTGGCACAGTCTGTAAATGGTTGGTGGGGAGCATTGTGAACTGAAAAGCCTCAACTTGTGAAGATTGTTAGTTACATGTATATAAACATTTGCAGGCAGGAATGGGATATATACAGTGTGCTATACCGTAATTGTTTTTGATTTGTTTAGTGGTACATATGAGTTCAAACTTTAAACTTTATATTGATACTTAAGGAATTTTAGTGTCCTCTGCTGTTTAAAATACATGTACTTCATGATGATGGTGCAGTGTCTGTTCAATAAAATTCTGTTGAACATTGTTCTTGAACACTGACACTGATCAGTTTCAATGAAACGTTGATAAATCTAAATCTTTTTTATGTCACCTTCATAGCTGAGTAAACACATAGGGATCACTTTGACACCCAGTTTGTCCATCTGTGTAAGATGTTAAGGGTACCTGCGGTCAATGCATGTTCCCTGAACGCTTATTCCTGTTTATACATATAATTGTATCATATTTTTAATAGGGAGAATACAGTTCTTGACTGAAATTGATCAAATAATGCAGTTTATGCACCACATTTTTCCCCTGCATTTTCAGAATGTTTGGCTATGTTTCCAAGATAAATGACCATGTGTCAATACCTTTGTCCCTCCCTTGTCTGAGGTACAAGTGTCCCAGTCCCTGTAGTAGGCCTGACCATAGGTATGTAGTAAAAAGCAAATAATTTGTTTTGTTAAAGGAAAAAAGAATTGTCTCTTAAAAAAAAAATTGAAAAGTTAATTTAATTTTGTGCCTTTTGTACTAAGTATTTGGAGGCACCAGTTGTCATAAGAGATGATATTGACTAGAACATCATTGATATGTAGTTTTAATATGACACCTCATACATTTATTTCAATTCCATTAAATTCTCATCTCATATTAGTAGGATTTGTAAAATAAATTATTTTCATATTTACAGGTATTTGTTATATGCAATTATCACTCATGCAGGAGTGACCTTGACCTCAGGACACTACCTTTCCTATGTCCATGTGCCAAAAACTAACAGTTCAACATGTCACTTTCTGACTACCACCGGTCAACATTACCCCGGGCAGTGGCTTGAGTGTGATGACGAGACAGTTCGAGTCCACGACGAGGAAAAATTCAGTCACATGTTACGTGGGGAGGATGGATCTTTGATGGGAACACCATATGTCTTGTTCTACTACCGCAATACACCAGTCTCTTCTTGGTCTCAAACATAATGACTTAAGTTTATTGTTAGAACTAATGAACATCTTTTTAATTTAATTGATTGACAAGGATTTACCAGAGTTTTATGAATTCTGATTTTTTCAGGTTGTTTAACAACAATAAAAATATAAACACATAGAATTCTTTAGTTTTTGACTTAATTGTTTTTATACGCTTGTCTTAAGACGAGACGTATTACATCATGGCGTTCATGCCCGTCCGTTAGCTTTTTCGTGTCCAGCTCGTAACTTGATACTATTAATTAGGCCTAGAAATACCAAACTTTGTCAGCTGACACATCTTGGATAGAAGATGTGTCACACATTAAAAATAGGTCGCTGGGACCTTTAATTAAGATGCTGTGGCCAAATATGGAAAAACCCTGTCCAGCTCATAACTAGAGAACTATTGGACCAAGAATCATCAAACTTGGCCAATTAATGCATCTTAGGTAGAAGGTGTGTCACACCTTACTTTAAGGTCACTGTGACCTTTGATTTAAGTGAAATTAAAAAAAAAAAACTATGTCTTTTATCATTTAAATCACACAATCCCAAAAGATGTAAGTGCATTGCAGTATCCTTATTAAAAAAATTAAATGAATAAAATATTTTTTTCATGATATACTTTACAGCAATCTATAATAAATGTAATGTTAATTAGAGAAATTCCACCTCTCCCATGGGTGTAATTATCAAGCACTGGTCAAGGAGAATTTTGATAACGGAAAATTGCATGTCAAATTAGAGATAAATTAATGAGTTTAGTGTGAGGAGATAACTGGTAGCGCATCTCTGATCCAGTTAATAGTTTGAAGGCTAGATGTAAAACTGAAGTTGATATCAAAGCAATGTACGATTTTTTGAAAAAAATTGAGGAATCTAAAGATGATGAAGGTGATGTAGATGATAATGATGTCAATCTCGATGATAACTCCCCTTTAAATTGTCAAATCTCTGTAGAAGAAATCTTGCAAGCAGTTAACAAACTGAAAAATAATAAAGCTCCAGGGTATGATCAGATCTGTAACGAATATATAAGCACAACAATATCATTTTTATACCCGCACTTTCTAAAGAAAGTTCGGGTATATTGTTGTTACTCATGTCTGTCCGTCCGTCCGTCTGTCACACTCTTATTTCTCAAACTCCTCTTACATTTTACACAGTAGCCTAATCATCTTTTGGGAGATGTTTCGTGGTGTCATGTAGATGTGCAGTAAAGTTTCGGAATTTTCATTTTCACCCTGAGGGTCAAATGGGGGTCGAAAAATGACGTTTTTTATGCAAAAAGCCCCTGGTTCCCTGAACTCCTCTTACATTTTACACAGTAGCCTAATCTTCTTTTGGGGGATGATTAGTGGTGTCCTGCAGATGTGCAGTAAGGTTTCGGAATTTTCATTTTCACCCTGGGGGTCAAATGGGGGTAGAAAAATGACGTTTTTTATGCAAAAAGCCCCTGGTTCCCAGAACTCCTCTTACATTTTACACAGTAGCCTAATCCTCTTTTGGGAGATGGTTGGTGGTGTCATGTTGATGTGCAGTAAGGTTTCGGAATTTTCATTTTCACCCTGGGGGTCAAATGGGGGTCGAAAAATGACGTTTTTTATGCAAAAAGCCCCTGGTTCCCAGAACTCCTCTTACATTTTACACAGTAGCCTAATCATCTTTTGGGAGATAGTTGGTGGTGTCCTATAGATGTGCAGTAAGGTTTCTGAATTCTCATTTTCACCCTGGGGGTCAAATAGGGGTCGAAAAATGACGTTTTTTATGCAAAAAGCCCCTGGTTCCCAGAACTCCTCTTACATTTTACACAGTAGCCTAATCATCTTTTGGGAGATAGTTGGTGGTGTCCTATAGATGTGCAGTAAGGTTTCGGAATTCTTATTTTCCCCCTGGGGGTCAAATGGGGGTCAAATTTTTTTAAAAAAAATATTTAACATGTTTAAACAGAACTTCCCTTATATGTTATGCACTAGCCTTAAATCATGATCATTTGGAAGATGATTGATTTTGTCCTGTGGATGTGTAAAATGGTTTTAAAATTTGCATTTCCATGTGGATAGCAAATAGGGGCAGGAAAAAAATGGCCCCTCCCTAACCCATGGGGTCATGATTTGTACAAACTTGAATCTACACTTCTTGGGAATGTTTCCATATTAATCATGCTTTTGTTGTTCTTAAAAAGAAGAATTTTGGAGATTTTTTTCCTTTTAAATCTCTATAAAACTTTGATCCCTTATTGTGGCCTGACCCTATCCTCGTCGGTCATGATTTGAAAACTAGAAATATGTCCATAGGACTTAAATGCCCCGCCGAATGTATATTACTAAAATGCAACATGAAAATTTGTAAGAGTGTATGAAGTTTGATGAGAATATCTTGAACAGTTTCTTTAAAATTGAAACTAAAATCTAAAAAAAAATGGATATAGATGATAAATTCTCACAAAATTATGTATAAGTGCAATGCTTACATAAAAATATCTTAGATTGTTTCTTTAAAACTAAGCAAAATACAAATTAAAGAGAAGGGAGGTCAAGGTCACAGGAAAGTGCAAGGTGAAAAGTTTTTGATGCAGTTGAATAGCTCTCACTAATACATATCAGCATATTAGGTTTGATAAAAATATCTTGAATGATTTATTTAAAACTGAGCTTAACACTTATTTGAGAAAAGAGAGGTCAAGGTCAAAGGAAAGGTTGAGGTCAAAATGCTGATGCAGTTGAAAAGCTTATATCAGTATGTATTTACTATTAGCATAGAAGTTCAATAAAAATATCAGAAATGGTTTATTTAAAACATAGATAAACACTAATTTAAAAAAGTGAGGTCAAGGTCAAAGGAAAAGTCAAGGTCAAAAAAGTTGATGCAATTGATATCTCTCAGCAGTATATATCAGCATATGAAGTTTGATAAATATATCTTGAATTGTTTATTCAAAACTGATCTAGACACTAATTTAAGAAAAGTAAGGTCAAGGTCAAAGGAAAAGTCAAGGTCAAAAATTTTGATGCAGTTGAAAAGCTTACATCAGTATGTATCAGCATATGACGTTTTATTGAAGTCGGACATGACAAACACTATATGCCTCGGCCATATTCATGGCAGGGCATAAAAAACTTGAATCTACACTATATGAGGATGTTTCCATATCAAAATGACTAACAAGCAATTTCAAAGAATTGTGGTCCCCTGCTTTCCGTGTCCTAGTGGATGGGATGCCATTATTTATGACATATTGTTTCAAATATGCAGGCCTTATCATATGTCATTCAAAAGTAATCACCAAAGTTAAAATTTTTGAAAATTAGGTAAAACATCAAGGTCAAGGGTTAAAAAAATCATAGCATGCTTGAAAACATCTTGTTACAGGTAATGTACATGTCAAATATAAAAGTCCTATCTCTTCTCAATCAAAAGTTATAAGGAAATATAACATTTTTGAAAAGTAGGTTAAACTTCAAGGTCAATGTCACAGAGTCAAAAGTCATGATATATTTAGAAAGGTCTTGTCACAGGTAATATACATGTATAATATGAACGCCCTATCTTTTCTCTTTCAAAATGATCATTTAAAATAATGTTAAATTTTTTGAAAAGTAGGTCAAACTTCAAGGTCAAGGTCATGGGTTCAAAAATCATGGTATGTTTAGAAAGTTCTTGTAGGTAATGTACATGTGAAATATGAAAGCCCTATCTCTTATTATTCAGAAGCTATGACCAAGGTTAAATTTATTGTGTCAGTGGTTCTTGAAATTGGTCCAGCGGTTCTAGTGAAGAAACAAAAATGTGAAAAGTTTACAGGCGGACAGATGGATGACAAACAAAATGTGATCAGAAAACCAGAAAAACTCAAGTGAGCTAAAAACTGATGATCACAAGTACTTGGAAAGAGTTACAGTATTTGAAAAGCAGTTTTTTTTTTTCATGCATTGTTTTCAGAAGCTGAAAAGGTATGACTTGTATCCATGTTGAAAAAACTTCACATTTCAGAAAACAGTATGATTAAAAATAGTTAATCAAGGTGCTTTGAGTAGCAAAATAAGCTAAACTGGTATAGCTAATTCAACCACAGAGCTTAGTGAATTTTAAAATGCACAACCTTTTCAACTCTTAATCATTCTTAAAATATTTATATCATCATTTCTGATTCAAGGGAGAACTAGAGATATGATCAGAAGTATATCCGTTGACTAATAAACATGTACATGTATATTGTGTTTTTTAAGTCATTAATGTTTGTTTGTTGTTAAATGTCCCTCTTGGGAATTTTTCACTCATACGGAGACACCACCACTTAAAAATAATGAAGTCGTACAAGTCGGATTTGAGGTTAACATTCATTTTAGGAGTTTTCAACAATTAAGACGTAAAGAGATAACTCCTTCCCCTTGCCCCTTCCCAGACCCCTGTTTGTTCATGTATGCAAACTAGTCTAATACTTTGGTTTGACATAAAAAAAAATCTGAATATATACAGATAGTTTAATGGTCCATCTCTTTGAATGATTTTCATTCCTAATTCTAGGAGGATACATGGGTTGACCCAAATTCATGAATGAAATGTCAAGTAATCTTATCATTGATGCACTTTTATTTAATTTGATGTAGTCATATTATGAACATTTCCAGTTCATTAAGAGAGTGGGGATGACCTCCAGGGGTTCATAACCTTAAACCATTAGATATACATAACATAATAACACAAGAAACAAAATTATGTATAGTCAAATGGAAAAGTTTTCTACTATTTAGGAGTCACATGATCATTTGTCATTTCAGGGACAGGGAGTGGCTAGGGAGATTGGAAACACCCCCCCCCCTGGAATTTGCAGAGTTATTTAAATAGGACTATATACTGATTTACAGAAGCAAATAAAAAATGACTTTGGATGCCCTCCCCCTTTAAAAACATGGACCCCACCATCATTGTTTTTATTTTGTTTGTTTGTTCGTTTGTTTTTGTTTTTTTTTTTTTTTTTTTTGCTCCTCAGGAAATTCTGGGAAAAAATTCCAGGATCTGTGCCTATAACTGAATGTAATGTCGACAACGGGAGATAACTCTTCAGAATGTGAAATTCGTCTATTGTGGCATCTGATGATCCACTCTCTACCATTGGCCAGAGACATATGTCTCTGCATTGGCTCATACATTCAGTGTCTGAGAGAGAAACGAACGACAACTCTGCATAGAAGATTGCCGATGATCTTTGATCCTTTTTGAACTTTAACCTAACTATTTGCATTTCGGTTTATTTTACCCCAATCTATAGTTAAACTTGTACTTACCGACTGTCATAGGTCCTGTCAACTTCATGAAATATAATCCAATTTTAACACAAAATGAATTAATTTCTACTGATATACATGTAACACTGCACCATGTCACATGGCATGTGCATGTGCAATCTAAAAATGATAATGGTAAAACTAGTACTAGCACTGGTAGGGTGACGCAAGCCCAATGTGATGTAGAAATTTTCAAGGTGTTCACATACATGTACAGTACAAGAACAAATTTTAAATTATCATAACTAACGATGTTTTAACATAACTTTGCCATCTAGGCCTATTTTCAAAAACAGGCAAATTGTGTGTGTGTGTGTTGGGGGGGGGGGGTGACAAAATTGATTGGGTATGGCTTTTCAAGGAGGTTTTTGCCTAATCAAATACTAAAAAAAGTTTGCACATTTTGATAAATTCATCAAAAACGCTTTGTACTAAAATAATATTATTTGTTGTTGAGAAAGTAAATTTAAAAAGTTCCAATTATGGGCCAAAAATTTATATCCCCCCCTTTTATCAAAACCTAATTTACATCATTAATTAAATTCTGTTATTTCAGACTGGTAATGAATTAAGTATATGAAATGCGTATAAGAGGTTCATGGGTCACATGGTCACCTGAGCATTTTATGCTCGATTTGACGAATACATGTACTGTGTAAATTATAGAATTATTTGGACTTTTTCCTTGGTAAGCCCAATATGAAGGAGTGTGCATTTAGAGGCAAACACATTAGTGCGGGTATTACTGTCTCATGACAGCATCTAGTTTTTTTTTGCCACTATATGTTGACCTTTTCAATTTGATTTTTGATGCTGGTTTTGTACCTGAGGAATGGCTTATTGGTATCGTTAAGCCAATATATAAAAACGAGGGAGACCCAACTCTTCCTGAAAACTATAGACCAATAACACTGTTAAGTTGTTTAGGAAAAGTATTTACCAGTATTTTATGTGAACGTTTGAATATTTTTGCTGATGAGTTAGAACTGATTACTGAAGCCCAAGCTGGCTTTAGAAAAGGATATGGTACAACAGATAACATACTGATATTAGATTTTTTGTGTAAATTTGTTTCTTTTAGTAAGAAAAAACTTTATTATATAGTCTATAAATAGCCCCTATATAATCTATACAAACGCAAACGGTTCATAACATTACATATTCACTGGTTTTGAAGCCGTATTCACCGGAGGGTCAGTGCGCGTGCAGCGGCATTGTGACGTCACAATCAATACCTCAACGTTGAAAACAATATGGTTACAATGGCCGCAGCCAGCTGTGTATCTGAGGAGGAAAAATTTTAGGCAAGCCTATCGCATGATTATTTTTTCAAACATTTCGATGTCTTACACACAGCGAAATGAAATCACGGAAGTTATAAGTTTATCAAAAATATGTAGGGGCAACTGGGGTAAGTGGACACATTAAAGGTTTAATTGGAGTCTGAAAACTTCTAATCTGAACTAATCTTTCTTGTAGTATACTAAACTGATAGTTCACTCTTCTCTCTTTGTAGTGTAAAATATTTCTCAACTTAATTCAAATGGTTTGAAATATATGGGCTTAAAAGTTAAATTTTAAAAAGTGTTCACTTACCCCATAGATTTGGGGTAAATGGACAGTGTTGAAAATTATGAAATAACGGTATACATTGTCTTTGAAGATACAATTACACATCCTTATATTATCGACAAAAAAGTTAAAATTAATGAATTTATTTTTATTTTCTTTTTTCAAAATTGAAATTAATTTTCTGAGATCGATCACTAACCGTTATCTTTACCCTTTTTCAATTATGAAAAATTTTGAAATGCATATATGTTTTTCTAACTTTAATGACATAAAATCATCGATATAATTCAGTGACTCAAAACATCCAATATTTAAGGTATTTCACACAAGTAAACATTCTCCAACACACAAGAAAGTGGAAAACCAAACAAAAAAATTATCGATGCTTGTCACATACAAAATGTTCTAGCTGGCGTCCATATTTTCCAGTGCAAGATTCGTGGTACCAATCATCACAACTAGTACATTTAACCCAGTCCTCATCATCTGAATCTTCATCATAATAGTACCCCCCACAGTAGGAGCAGCAATTAATGGTGTCAGTGTGAGAAGGGATATTTTCCTTTGACTTTGATGTAGTCTTCTTTGATTTACTTGTAGGCTTAATAAGCTGTTTCTTCAATTTTTCCATCTGTTTCTTTTGTTTCTTTTCTTCACGCTCTTTTTTTCTTATTTCTTTTTCCTTCTGGTCTTTTTCTCTTTTTTCCTCCTTTTGTCTGATTTCATTGATGAATTCATTCTCTGTTACACATCTTGCACCAAGAACTTTCTTAGTTTTTCTTTGAGCTGGTTCTTTGACAACTGTTGGAAGTTGAAGTGCTTCTGTAATTTCTTCTGAGACTGACAAGGAGCTCCTTGGAACCTGGGTTGGTTGACCAATAGAGACTGCCATGTTCTCAGGTGATGCAATTTCCCCCTCACTGGTAGTGCTGGTTACAGAAACTAAGACAGAAGTTTTTGATGGCCCAAATGCCTCTGCAGGAATAGCCAGAGGGTTGAAGGGAAAAATACCTGTAGCTCTAAAACCTCCAAAGATATTTACCATATTCATTTTCTCATTATATGCATGAGAGAAAATTCCGCAAAAGTCATATCTGGATATTTGTCTGCCAGGATTTAATTTCAAAAATGATTCACAATGCTTGTAGTATGCCTTCTTTAAGGGCCCAAAAACACTTCTGTCCAGTGGCTGTGTCCAATGCGTTGTGTGAGGCGGCAAGCAGAATATTTCAATGTCATTTGTCTTCGCTGCTTCCAGAAGATGAAGTGTAATATGAGAGGCATGGCCATCTACTATCAGCAACACTGGTCTTTGAGGTGAGAGGTTGGACAAAAAAATCTTTTCAAACCATATTCCAAACAGTTCTCCATCAATAAATGAGCTTTTACTGCATGCAAACAGTGTGTTCTTTGGGGTACTGCTCATTAAAGCTTGACTGATTCTTTTTCCTTTGAAAATCACCATAGGTGGCAAAACATGGGCCTCAGCATTTACACAACACAAAACTGTAATGTTTTCACCCCTTTCACCACTTGTTTTCGCATGAATGGCTTTCTTCCCCTTCCTCCCCACAATTTTTGATGTTTGATGAACTGTACTAAATCCTGTTTCATCTGCATTAATTATTTGCTGGGGTTTTGACTTTACATTGAGTTTATCCATAAGATCTCCTAGCTTGGTAAAATGGTCTGAAATTACATTTGGATTAAGCATAGTACCACGAGCAGCACTTAGACCTTCAGGTTTACAGAGAGATAAGCATGGGTGCCGGTCTCGAAATCCCTGCCACCAGTCATATCCTGCCATTTTCTTGTCTGCATTAAATGGATTTTTTCTTCCTGAGTGTGCAATAATTGAATATGCAAGCTTACATACATCTGATATTGTCAAACCAAACCCACGTTCCTCCATCTCCAAAATGTGACTAACAAGAGAGTTTTCTTCCTCTTTAGACAGAGTGGTTGGTTTTGATGCTGGAGACTCCAAATCCATTGTTGAAAGTCTCCTCGACAGGGTTGTTCTTGGAATGCCAAATATCTTAGAAGCTTTAAACTTGGTCATTTTCCCCGTTTTAACACACTGAACAGCTTTACTTAAAGATTTTCTGTCCCATTTTCCTTGTTTGGGCACCCAGTCTTTTTTCTTTCTGGCCATTTTACAATGTTTTCCGTTTCTGAAATTAAAAAAAATTATTTTAGTTACATAAAAACCCAAAATCTCTGTGCAAGAAAATATTTAACATCAGAGATACCTTTACTTTTCTGTTTTTAAATTTAATTTGCAATTATTTAAATTTATGTTATAGAAAATCAATTCATGTATTATTTTCATGATTAGAAATATCATTTAAAAATTAATTTGATACATAAAACTAAGATTTATACCGATACAATTCAAACTGAATATCTAAAGATTAAACCTGAGACTGCTGTTTAAATAACATTGTCATGGTTTTGCACTGTCCACTTCCCCAAACAAACTGGGGTAAGTGGTCACAATATGACATTTTGACATTTTTAAATTAATCTAATCATTCAATTATTCTAACCAAATAAATATTTGTGTTTGCAAATTATTAATTTCAAAGAGTATGTTGCCATTCATTACATATTTTTTTTTTAATAAATCTTGAAAATTGTAATAAATCCATGAAGGACACAACGTAATTTTTTTTTTCATTATCACGTGACCTTTCTAAAGGGTAAACGTAAAAAGAAAGCTTACAATTTTCCCTTCCACTTGAACAACAAAACATAATAATGTGTAAATTGATATAATATTTGAAAAACCAGTATCTATTTATTATCAAATATTATGCCTCTAACGGACTGAACTTGAATATATTTTATTATCAATACACAAGCTTTTATTATGTTTGTTTACAGATTTTTCAAAGGGTAGCCATTTTTTATGTGAAGATTATATATTGTTTACAGGAATGATGCGATAAAAATAATATAAACTGCAAAAATACATCAATGTAAACACTCCAGACTTAAAACTGATGCGTCATTGTATAGATTGAAAACAAGTTCTTTTGCTTAAAGGCGAACAGTTTTTATTTAAACAATGGTTAATCTCTGCAGTATTTATGACAATACTAAGAAAATGGCTCTGTGCAGTTTACTTACGGATCGAGTCACAGTTTTCTCCTTTTTTCAATCGAAGTCGTTGACCTTGAATTTTCCCTGTCTTTGATGTTAACACATTTGCTTCCTCCTTTACAACGAGAGCTGAACAGGTTTGATAACTCTTGTTTGCTTTAATTTTTAAGCAATATTTTAAAAATGTGTCCACATACCCCGAGTGTCCACTTACCCCAATTGCCCCTACAGTGGTATTAAATCGAAGATATATATTGATCAAAATATCTCTGAATTTTTCATGTGTAACCTTGGGGTAAGACAAGGGGAAAATTTATCCCCATTTCTTTTTACTTTATATATTAACGATTTAGAAAAGTATTTATTGCAGAAAAATATTGAAGGGGTTACGAGCTTTAGTGAAAAATTAGAAATTGAAATGCAGATTATGTTCAAACTATTTATACTTTTTTATGCTGATGACACAGTTTTATTATCTGATAATCCAGAGGATTTACAAAGATCTTTGAATATTTTTTCTGATTATTGTGACCATTGGAAGCTTCAAGTAAATACAGACAAGACTAAAATAGTAATTTTTTCTAGAGGAATAATACCAAAGAAAATATTTTTGTATAGAGGTGCACCAATTGAAATTGTGAACGAATTTAAATACTTAGGTGTTATCATGTCTTGTAGTGGCTTCTTCAGAAGTGCCAAAACACATTTAACTAAACAAGCATCAAAAGCCATGTATGGAGTACTTAGAAAAATAAGGTATTTTAATTTGCCAGTAGATTGTCAAATAGATCTCTTTGACAGAGTTATAAGCCCAATTTTAATGTACGGGTGTGAAGTATGGGGCTACGAAAATATTTTAGAAAAGGTACACTTAAAATTTCTGAAATTTGTTTTACATGTTTAATCCAGCACTCCAAATTGTATGGTATATGGAGAAACTGGGCGATACCCTTTAATAATACGTGTAAAGGTACGAATGATTACTTATTGGGCTAAACTTTTGATGTCACATGAACGTAAGTTTACATACATAATGTATTGCTTTCTCCATAAATGCTTTTCTGAAGGTTTATTTATGCATCCATGGTTGAAATGTATAAGAGATATTTTGAATTCATGTGGTCTGTCTTATGTGTGGATGAATAAAATTTTCTTTTAGTATTTCATGGTTAAAAACTATTGTGAAAGAGTCATTGTTAAGTCAATTTTTACAAGACTGGCATATAAGCTTAGAAAATTCATCTAAATGTTTAAATAATAGGATTTTTAAAAACAATTTTGGACGAGAAATGTACCTAAGTAAACTCCCAAAAGATTTAAGAATTATATTAACAATTATATTAACAAATTTAGAATTTGTAACCACAAACTTCCAATCGAAGCTGGTAGATGGACTAATACTGACAGATCTTTAAGAATATGTAATTTATCTAATAAAAATACTTTAGGTGATGAATTCCATTATGTAATGGAGTGTCCATACTTTTTTTCATTACGTATGAAACTTATTGATAAGAAGTATTGTTTTCATGTAAATACTTATAAGTTTGAGAATCTTATGTCCACCACAAATGTTGACTCACTGATAAAGCTGTCTTTGTTTGTTAAAAAGATATTGGCCTGTTTACAGTAATACACTTTCAATTCATACTACTCTTCCTTACTTGACTTTGTAATTTGTATATATGTAAATATGTTCATGTACCTCATATACCATTGTATGGTCTGAGAGAAATAAATAAACAAACAAGGTGTTATCTATATCTTGGGAATTGGGCAAGGATTAAATAGTTCTTGTTGGCTAGCCTAAATTTGATGTAAAGTAATTAAAACTAATTTGATATCGTATAATATAATCAAAACTTATTTGATATTGTATAATACATTTACATGTATTTGATATTGTATATTTTTTTTAGCTCACCTCAACGAAGTTGGGGGAGTTTATGTAATATACCGTCACCGTCCCAGGTTAAAGTTTTTGGAGCAGTTTTCTTTTCAAGTACTTCTATGGCCTATATTAGTCAGAGATGCATGGAGGATGCTTCTAGTGTGTTTCATTGTACCAGTCAAGGTTTCAGATGTTGCAATTTCAGCTAAAGAATGACCAGGTTAATGTTTTTGGAGCATGTTAAATTTCTTGGAGCAGGTCTCATTTTCAAGTAACTATAGGCCCTATATTGACCAAACTTGCCTGGATGATACATCTAAGGATGCACTACTGGACTTGCTTCAGATGTTGGATCTGACTTATATTTTCCGGATGAGTGAGCAGATTAAAGTTTTTGGAGCAGATCTCATTTCCAAGCAACTATAAGCCCTATATTGACCAAACTTGCATGGATGATACACCTAAGGATGCACACTACTGGACTTGCTTCAGATGCTGGATCTGACCTATATTTTCCGGATGAGTGACCAGGTTAAAAGTTTTTGGAGCAGATTTCATTTCCAAGTAACTTTAAGTCCTATGTTGACCAAACTTGCATGGATGATACATCTAGGGATGTACACTACTGGACTCGCTTCAGATGCTGGATCTGACTTATATTTTCCGGATGAGAGACCAGGTTAAAGTTTTTAGAGCGATCTCATTTCCAAGTAACTATAACCCCTATATTGACCAAACTTCAATGGATGATACATCTAAGGATGCACACTACTGGACTTGCTTTGGATGCTGGATCTGATCTACATTTTCCGGATGAGTGACCAGGTTAAAGTTTTTAGATAAGTCCATTCCCAAGTAACCGCAAGCCCCATCAGACCAAAATTGCATAAATGTGCAAGCTGCAGATGTTCATTTGTTAAGCTGTAACTCAAAAATCTGAGATATATATGATGTATTATTTGTTATAATTAATACCCACACCACAGGAGATATATGTACATCAAACATTATAAGGAATGGAAAAATTATTGAAATCTTTGTATCAAGGTTGACATGATTTTCTTGCACTTTAAACTGTTTATGAAAATTGAACATTATTTGATGGGCGTATCATGTGGCGGGGCACTTTATTTTTAAGGTGAAATGCATTTGTGTCCAATATATACCAGGTACAATGAAAAAGGTTGGGCTGGGTATCGGCTGGGAATTTCGTATTGCGATACATTGTGATATTTTTAACTGTATTGCGATATGTGTTGCAATATTTTCAGTGACAATTGAAATGCTCTTTTTTTTATTTTATTAACCTTCATCTATAAGCAGAGTGTGTAAAACTATTATAAATACATGTACATTGTTACAAAAAAGTTCTTGTTGATTTCACTACTGTTTTGGAACAAAATGCAACCATACAACAACAACCATACAGTTTGGTACTTTTTGGCATGATTGAAAACTTTTCTAAGAAATTAAATTTCATATTTTACTTAAGAAATCAAAAGCTCAAGCAGTTTTCTGGTATATCAGTACTGGAAAAAACGTACAGCAATAAGATATTTTTTGTTAAAAAATCACAATATACCAGAATATTGATATTATTGGGCAGCCCTAGAAAAAGGTGAAGATAACAAACAGTGATTGATCTCAATAAATCCATAAACAATACAAATATGTGAAGAGGGCATAAAACATGGACCCCTGGAAATTCCAGAGGTGGGATTAAGTGCCTACGAGGAGGTAGATGGAACATTCCATAGTCAAATTCAGTATAAAACAAAGGCCTAACGATTGGTATGAAACACGTCACCAACATACGACCCAATGATAGGTTATGTTTGCTAACAAGGTCATTATAACGACCACAGAATTTACGAAATGCTGACTAAATGAGGTTGTTGAAATCCCTGTAACATCAACTTATCTGTCAGTGGCCTGCCTTGGTTTAAAAATTGATTGTTCTCTGAGCATGCTTGTGAGTATCAAATAAGTTTGGAGATGTAAACACCATATGCAGGTCATAGTGGGATGTCATTATATAAATAAGTTGATGATGGAAAAGCTAAAGTCATCTCATTTGTCATACAATTTAGTTGTTAGTTTACCTTTATCGTCCATAGTCAGTAAAACATCCAAATATGAAACAGATGTGGTACAGTGACTCTGTGGTGTCTTATTTAAAGTTCAATGGGATATATATCGAGTCAACATATGATTGAAAGTAGCCAATGTTAATAATCGAATTGAAGGCCACAGCAAGTATTTTCTTCTCATGTAGAAGTTTTTGAATAAATTCTGCTTCATAGGAATATAAAAACAGGTCGGCTAATAAAGGAGCACAATTAGTGCCCATTATAGTTTGTTGGAAGACCTGGTAGGCTACATAAATGTTGTAAATAAATGAGGAACTCCAGCATCATCTTCAGAGTACTTATGTGTAGAATCACAGTGATTTTTAACAAAGTAATTTTGTTGATGACTAATCACAAGATACAAAAATTTTTGACTTCCATTTTTATTGAAGAAGCAGTTGTCTATAATATCAAAAAGCCTAGTTTTTAATTTATTGTGAGGAATGGTTGTATAAAGTACAGAAAAGTCATACTTCTTGACTGACGTCTGAAAAATTTGGCGATATTAAAATTTTCTAAAAGTTCTCTGCATTGGAGTTTTTGAAAATCCACATCGGATTTACACCACTTCCAGAATATGCTGTACGTAGCACAGTATTTCTGAAGTTTCTCCTTTACGGCAGTTATTTTTGTAAGAAGTAAATATAGGGGCTTGGTAGAGCATTTACTGGACCCGGTAATGTATCTCTGTAAGGATTTTTATGAAGTTTAGGAACCCAGTATAGGTAGGGTAGATCGAACTCACCTTCGTTGACTGAAATGTTAAAAGCATTAAACACTGAAATGTGATTTTGAAGACTTTCATCTTTAGAAAGTGAACTGTGAGTATAAGTTGGATTTCCAGATGTGGAATTAAAACAAAGTTCTTGTAAAATACAGTTATAATAATGAGCATTACGAATAAAGACGATATTGTTACAAGCCTTGTCGGTTGGAACCATAATGTATTGTTCATGTAGTCTTTTTAATTCTTTTATCACCTCCGATTAAGTGAAAAGGGAAGGATAAATGGTTTGCATATTGCCTTTTAAATTTCTTATACGATTTTTAAAATAAATTTCTAAAACTCTTGATCCATTCTGACAAAGTGTTCAGATCTTCCTTTTCATATTTAGCTCACCATCTGGCATCATCTTCGACAGAATTCATAATGGAAATAAAGATCTGTTATCAATTGAAAGGGCTCCCATGTATTTAAGACCTTTTAAGACCAGCATTCTGAGAGCATTGCATTAGCAATACCAGTCCCCTACCAGCAAGTGTAATCTGGTTCCCATTAAAAATGCCACTATTCCGTCAAAAATCACTGAAGTGGAACCAAATGCAAACTTGATCTTAACTCATCAAGATTAGAAAAAAAAAAATAGCAGAAAACCCTTTAAAAATTAAAAGAGGCATAATTCTGTCAAATATCAATGAAATGGAACGAAATGCAAACTTGATCTGTAACTCATCAAGACACACTCACATACCAAAAATCAGCTTGATATCTGCAAGCGTTTAGAAAAAAAGTGCAGAAAACCAAATGGGACAGACAGACAGCTATACAGATGAGGAGGACTAATATTTGCTTTCAGGTCTTCATTTTCAACTAGTAATGACATGTCCAGCTGGACTGTAGTTGAAAGAAGAAAAAGAGCAAGAACACTGAAGAGGATTTTGTTTTAGATGTTAAATATCTAGGCACTGCAAGGTTTGTTTATAATTGAAAACTTTGGAAGCAACAGTTTGGGAATATATGTAGGAAATAATTGTCAAAATTTTGGAACCCAAATATGTATAATATGTATAAGGAATATGTATGATCAATGGGACAGAGAAACTTGACACTTCCAACAAAATTTAGAAGTGCACATTTTATTAAAGCAAATTTTGATTACTGCATGCATTAAAAAATTCATCAGAGGTACTGTACATGGCTTTTGTGCACAAATGAAAGAAAAATGCAAGGTGATGCTTCCATTTTCAATGCTTTGGTCACTGTGTCTACAACTTGGCAACCTTAAGACAGATCTATTCCATAACTACCGGAAGGATTTTATGCTCTAACATACCAATTTTCTGAAGGTTATTCAGCATTTCGAGCTGTTGATTGAATTACATCTCCTATACTTGACTTTCTGCACTTCTCTGAAGTGATAATTACTGTCAAATGCAACATACATATTGTCGTTATTATCTAGGCACAAGTCTCGTGGATGTTCAGTGATGAACAAGTGATTGAAATCAATGAAATGAAGGAATTGCCCATCTTCACTTATAATGTGAATACAGTTGTTACCATTATCTGCCACAAAGATGTAACTCTGACTATTTGTTGCTAATCCCCCTGGCATAAATGATTTATCTTTTGGACTTGGATTATGACCAGTGTACCTGAATTTCAATTTCCCATTCTGGCTAATCACTACTACTGCTCCATCTTCAAGGTTGTATCTAGAAAAACTGTAACAAACACAAATATCCATGTTGTTATTTTCACATATGTGTGGAAAATTGATGTCTTGTGGAAAGAGAGGATTTTCATCATCATCATACTGAATGGACTGTGTTTCCTTTGAACCAGAGTAACGGGTAACTCGAACTGATGTTTCAGCTTTTGGAGCAAAGTAATGAATGTCTTTGACTGATTTTTTCTTTGGTCTATAAAACCCTGATTCTACTACCAGGATATCATCAGTGCATGTACAATAAACACTTAGCGGTTTCCAGCCACACTGATATTTAATCAACTCCTCTATCTCATTATTCCTCACAATTTTTATAGTTCCTTCAAATTTATCAGCACAAACAAGATTTCCACTTCTTGTCACTGCTATGCTATCAACACTGGAATTCATCTCAATGTCTTTGATATGGGAGCTATTATTAGTGTTGTACAGCCTCACTAGGCCTCTTATATCTCCTCTTGTCCATATTTCTTCTTCGTTAACACAAGCAATACCAAGGCATCTGTGGCCAGTGAAGATTTTGGCTTCTATTTCTGGTTTATCAAGCCAATCTGTGAATCTGCTAGACTTGGTTTCCAGAATTTCATCTACTGTCTTCATTGTGTAACCATTTTCCTCTGATGAGATGGACATTTTTGTAACAGCACCAAAGAGTTCACCAAACATTTCCTCTTCAAGATGTTTTGGTTTGAACTCAGGACTTAATACATTGACTTTGGCTGGAATGTTTTGGAATTCTTCCTTTCTTGATCTGTAATTAAGATATTCCATCATTTCATTTGACTTTGATATCTTGTGACAAGATTTCAATGTTTCATTGACTTCTGCTCTTCTTTGATTTATCTCGACTAAATGAATCTCCAGTGCTTCTAGGTGTTTGCTTTTCATCTCTATGACCTCGGTTTTCATGTTTCCGATATATTCTTTAATTGTTTTTATCCATTTTTCTTCATGTTGTGTTATCATTGTGATCAATTTTTCATAGTCTTCCTCTGCTTCTGTTATTCTTTGTTCTATACTGGTAGCTATATCGTAATAGGTAGGAGAGATTGTCTGTTCTAGTTCATCTTTGTCTCTCTGAACAGTCTCCATTCTTGAATAAAATACATCTTTTAAGATTGAGAGTTTATGACCTATGTGTGTATTGGATGCAATGCATTTTAAGCACATAGGGGTGTTGCATTCTTCACAGAACATGTGGCATGGTTCTCTGTCATGAGATGCACATAAAGGAGAGCGTGGAGTCGCTTTCTTCGCCTGGAATTTGATGATCATGTGATTCTTGGATTCTTCACTAGAAATATGATCCCCCAAACAACCCTTGCAAAGGTTGACATGACATGTATCACAAAGGTGCTGTGCCACAGCAGTCTCACACAGGTCACATCTTATCACATCTTGAGCACAACTGTTGGGGTCCATGTGAAATCTGAAACAATAAAATGCAAATAGTATTTTTCATGTATTTATACATTTGTGTAATATCAATATTGTCCAGATACTTTTGTATATATGTAATTACATATTTGGAAAGGAACACTTCATTGTGAACGTAGTGCCGACCTATACAGCTGGGATTGGTTTTAGTCTTTGAAAAAGTCTTGTCAATTTCCATTCCGGTCAATGACTTTAGGCTACGAAATTGTACTAATTCGTTTGTCATTTTCTTTCTAGTCAATGCATGTAGCCTAGTATGCAGAGATAGGAGTGACCTCTTCAAACATATTAACTTTGTACTAGTAGCATGGTACTGTTAACTAGGACTGGGTATCGGTTGAAATTTCTTATTGCGATATTTGGAACTGTATTGCGATATGTATTGCAATATTTTTAATAACAGTTAAAATGCTTTTTTCTTATTTTATTAACCTCCATTTATAAGCAGAGTGTATAAAACTTTTATAAATACGTGGTAACAAAAAAATTCTAGCTGATTTCACCACAATTTGGCAATGAAATGCAACATACAATAGAAACCTTTACCGTTTGGTACTGTTTGGCATGATTGAGAAAATTTCTGACATTTTAAATTGCACATTTTAGTTCATGAATCTAAAGTCCTATCATTTTGCCGGTATATCGGTACTGGAAAAACCTATCGCAATACGATATTTTTTGTTAACAAATCGCAATATTCTGGAATATCGATATTATTGCGCAGCTCTACTTTTAACATATTGTTAGTTTGTTATCTTGAAATGTTATTAATAAATATTTTTTTTAACTTTCATTGTAATGGTAATGTCTGTAGTCTTAATTCTTTCTTGATACATGTTTTTTTACAACACATTTTTGTAAATATCAAATAAATTGCATTTACTGTATACAAATTATATAAATGAAATTCCAAGGGAGTGCATTTACTGATATGTAGCCCTACTGTTTCAAAACTTGGGATCTGAATTTAGAACATTGACTTCAAAAGCACATGAATGTAATTCTGAAGTATATTTTAAGCTCAGTTAATGCTCATACATGTTCCCAGCTCAATAACCCCGACGAATACTAGTAGTAAAGACGGAGTAAATGCAAATAAAGAAATCCATTGCAGCTCATTGCAGAGGAGAATACCTGTATCGAGTTACACAAAGCGAATAATGCTTGTCCTCGAAGAAAGTGTGCTATACTGAGGTTATAGTTCTGCTTGACTGTGTTTTAGTTACATTGGAATTTACGATTTGCTTTTACTACAGTGTCTCTTGTATAAAAAATAAACATGCATAAAAGATAGATAATTGAAGGAAAATACACAAACCCCTATGAAAAATCAAATAAATAATGTTTAAAAGGCAAGAATTCAAAAGTGTGGCACTAGGTGGATTCAAACCAAGATTCTAACAAAAACAAGAGGCCCAGGGGCCTGAGCACTGTGGCGAGGAAAAATACAAAAATCAGTTTAGTATTGAAAATCTTAAATGCATAAGTGGTCCCGACCTACCCCTAAAAGGGAGTGGGGGGGGGGGGTATGAATTGAACAAAATTGAATCTACACTAACTAAGGATGCTTATATATATTTTTTTTTTTTGACTGTGACTTTTTTCCCTACAAGTTTGAACTTTCATTGTGGCCCCAACCTACCCCTGGGGGTTATTGATTTGAACAAACTTGAATCTACACTATCTGAGGATGCTTCCATATAAATATGACCAACCATGGCTTTGCTGTTCTTGAGAAGAAGATTTTTAAAGATTTTTCCTATATATTCTTATGTAAAACTTTGATCGTCCGTTGTGGCCCCACCCTACCCCCGGGGGTCATAATTTGAACAAACTTGAATCTACACCACCTTGGGATGCTTTCATATAAATATGACCGATCTTAGCTTTGCTGTTCTTGAGAAAAAGATTTTCGAAGATTTTTCCTATATATTCCTATGTAAAATTTTGATCTTCCATTGTAGCTCCACCCTACCCTTGGGGGTCATGATTTGAACAAATATGAATCTACACTACCTGACAATGATTCCATATCAGTTTCATCTTTCCTGGCCCATTGGTTCTTGAGAAGAAGATTTTTCAATGATGCCATTAATTTTTCGCTATTTCATAATTTTCTCCCCTTGCAGGAGGGCGTGGCCCTTCATTTGAACAACCTTGAATCCCCTTCACCCAAGGATACTCTTTGCTGAGTTTTGTTGAAATTGGCCCAGAAGTTCTGGAGAAGAAGATGAAAATGTGAAAAGTTTACGACTACAACAACGACGACAGAGCTCAAGTGAGCTAAAAAGTATGCTGAGATTACCAATGATTAATATTACAGCTACATGTGTATGGGCCTACGCATCTTTTTTAACTCGATCTTCTCTTTCTATATGCTATCCGACTTTAGGCCCTCTGGTAACATTGAAATGAACTTATCTTTAATTGATGCATGTAATGTTGTAAGAGAACCACATGCATTTAACACTGTTTAAAGTATCCTAATTTATTCTAGTTTCTAGTGCACACAGGGACGTCCATCTAACGGATGAATCGAAAGAAGAACTTGTGACAAAATGTAAACAACGCTCAAAATCACTTGATTTCCCTGAAATAAATCAAATCCTACCATTTAAAAGGCGTGAAATACTCCCAATAAACCAATCCTTCTTAGTCTAAAATCATTTACCTCGCCCTTCTCATCGACAACTCACAGGAAAAGATAACTCGTAGAGGACCTTTTATGAATTTTTCCGTGTACGTCAGCTGGAGTTACAATGAAAATCTTTAATGTCGCTTCACTTACTTTAAAAATTTCAAGACGAGATTTTCTATTGTATAAGCGCTCCAAATTAATTCCATGGGATAATCAAAGAAAAGTTCTTTTTTTTTCCTTATAAAAAATGAAAACGTGCAAACCTCTTCTCGCAAATATGACAAAGAAGTGTATTGATTTTGCAGGTCTTGACGAAGTCAAGAACGAAAGTTGCTATAAATATACATCATATATCTGCCCAATTTTAACACACCCAAAAACATTTTTACAAGGAACAAAAAAGAACACGTGTTTTTGTTTTGTTTTTTCTTGTCAAAAAGATTTTTTTGACAACAAATCTTTAGAAGCAAGATGAAAAGTTTGGAAGAATAAGGTATTCCCCACATATTTACCGTGACATTTCATCTCGGAAAAGAAACAAAAATAATGCATGTAACAATGTAGCTGCAGAACTGTAGCGTTATATAGTTTTATATTTTAGTCTTTGACTATAACGCTACAGATCCCGTAATGCAAATATTGTGCAATTTACGCGGCAAGATTTTCTGCGCGCTTTGGGGATGTATTTCGCCACTTTTCAGCATTGGTCAATCAACTACCTTTCACTCTCTAATTCGAGACATATTCTATAACCAATATGTATATTTTATCCATGCAACTCCTAACCCTTTCTAGTCGTCTCTACAGACCAATAAATTCGCTTGTTGTGAATTTTATGCCACCCGACAACAAATTCACAAGCGAGTTTATCGGAGAATATTAATGAAATTCTTGCCATAGTAGAGTAGAGAGAGTTACAAAATTAATCTTTTTTGATTCATAATTATCTCCCCTTGGAAGAAGGCTTGGCTCTTCATTTGAACAACTCGAATCCCTTTTACCCAAGGATACTTTGTGGCAAGTTTGCTTGAAATTGGCCCAGTGGTTCTCGACAAGAAGATGAAAAAGCGAAAAGTTTACAACGACGACAGACAACGAACAAATTTCGATCAGAAAAGCTCACTTGAGCCTTCGGCTCAGGTGAGCTAAAAACTACGTTTTTAACTTGCACAATTTTAACAGAAATGAAAGAAAAAGAGAGCAAGCTCACATACCCCACGGTCCCCCAAACTTGACAACGCAACACATAATGAATGACACGGTGCACTTTAAATACACAATATAATTCAAAAATGGGTATCACTTGCAAAAAAACTATCACATCGAAGCTTCTTGCATATAAAAACATTCAAATCTTTGTATGTTACAAATTTAATTGGGTTGAACTTTGCAGATAAATAATGGAATCAGAAATTCTTGATAATATACCAATTTACACATTATGTCTGAAATACCTACAAAGTTTCAGGAAATTCAGTGCAGGAGTAATGCTGTCAAACTGTTATTTAAATTCCCCAGTGATTTCGATTTGTTTATGAGTGTAAGTCCATGCCCAACGTATGACAATTTACATATTTAAATAATTGATGGAAACAAAATTATGCTGTAGTTACGGAAGCGTATTAGGGCCGCAGCACTATTTTTTAGTAATTTGTTTTAACAAATTGTCAATTTGTTATAACAAATTCGTAATTTGTTAAAACAAATTAGTAATTTGTTATAACAAATTGATAAAAAATACTGCTGCGGCCCTAATACGCTTCCGTATGTAGTCATATAAATTTGTTTATATACTTTACTTATGAAATTATTGAAGGTAAAGCACTAATTTGATGGAGGAGGGGTTGAGTATTAACTTTTTGTGTACTAATCTATCCAAGATTTGTGTGTGTGTGTGTGAGGGTGTGTGTGTGTGTTGAATCATTAATATTTTGATCTCAAAATCAATAGGGGTCTTTTAAGGTCATAAAATATTTTACATAGAATTTCATCACAAAAAGCTGATTCCAGTGAATTTCCTTATTACACTGTACCTAGCTGGAAAGTTTCTTCAATAACAGCCAAAACTCTGAGGGCAAAACTAATGGAATCGGCAATATGCACATCTACGCACTATGTCCTAAATATCTGCAAAGTTTGACGAGATTCTGTGCATTGGTTTAAGAGGATTTGCGCTGACAAACTGTTTATCTCTATATTCAAGATATGGCCAAAAGTCTAAGTTAAAAAGTGTCGAAATTCCCAGAAAAATAAAGGAATCGGAATTTCCTGGCAATATGCACATCTACACACTGTGTCGCGCTGACTAACTGTTCATCGCTATATTCAAGATAAGGCTAAAAATATAAGTTATAAAGTGCAGAAATTCCCCCCAAAAATAATGGAATCGGAATTTCCTGGAAATATATGCACAACTACACACTTTGTCCTAAATATCTGCAAAGTTTGACGGGATTCTGTGCATTGGTTTAAGAGGATTTGCGCTGACAAACTGTTTATCTCTATATTCAAGATATGGCCAAAAGTCTAAGTTGAAAAGTGCCAAATCCCCAGAAAAACAAGCATTCTGAGAGTATTGCATTAGCAATATTAGTCCCCTACCGGCAAATGTAATCTTGTTCCCATTAAAAAATTAAAAATGCTGTAATTCCGTCAAAAATCATTGAAGCGGAACATAATGCAAATTTGATCTGTAACTCATCAAGATAAAGTCACATACCAAAAATCAGCTCAATATCTGTAAGCGTTTAGAAAAAAAGTGCGGAAAACCCTTAAAAATTAAAAAGGCCATAATTCCCTTAAAATTTAATGAAGCGGAACGAAATTCAAACTTGATCTGTAACTCATTAACATACACTTGCATACCAAAAATCAGCTCAATATCTGCAAGAATTTAGAAAAAAAAAAAGTGCGGAAAACCAAGTGGGACAGACTGACAGACAGACAGAGGGACGGACGGACGGACAGACTCAGAGGAAACCTATAGTCCTCTCCGGTTTCACTGGTAGGAGACTAATAAAGGAATCGGAATTTCCTGGCAATATGCACATCTACACACTGTGTCCTAAATATATATGCAAAGATTGACGGAAGTCTGTGCAGGGGTTTAACAGGACTTGCACTGACGGAAAAAAACAAGCATTCTGAGAGTATTGCATTAGCAATACTAGTCCCCTACCGGCAAGTGTAATCTGGTTCCCGTTAAAAATTGAAAATGCCATAATTCCCTCAAAAATCATTGAAATGGAACTAAATGCAGTTCCGAGTGACTCAGGTGACCTTACAAAAAAAACATAGCTTCCTTACACTTAACCCCTGAACATTCACTGCTTTTTGTCAGTTTATTAGTCCCCTACTGGTGAAACCGGAGGGGACTATAGGTTTCCTCTGAGTCTGTCTGTCCGTCCGTCCGTCTGTCTGTCCCACTTGGTTTTCCACACTTTTCTTCTAAACGCTGGTATGTGAGTGTATCTTGATGAGTTACAGATCAAGTTTGCATTTTGTTCCGCTTCAACGATTTTTGACGGAATTACCTTTTCAATTTTTCAGGGTCTTCCGCAATTTTTTTTTCTAAACGCTTGCAGATATTGAGCTGATTTTTGGTATGTGTCTTTCCCTTGATGAGTTATAGATCAAGTTCGCATTTCGTTCCGCTTCATTGGTTTTTGACGGAATTATGGCATTTTCAATTCTTAAACGGAACCAGATTACACTTGCCAGTAGGGGACTAATATTGCTAATGCAATACTCTCAGAATGCTTGTTTCCATCACCATAAATGACTGTATTTCTGTGCTCTTGTGTAAAAATTGGTTTTCTCTGATGGTTCTATAAACCATTTTCTTGAACAAACTGACTTCAGTGATTCTGGAGGTTGATAGACAAATGTTAAAGGGCAGATGTCATACAGTATTGATCTGGAAAGCTTTTGCAAAATTATTGTCATTCCCCAAATATTTTCCTTAAAAAAAAAAAAAAGAAGACCCTTTAGCCCTCTAATTCATTCCAGAATGTTATGTTAACAATTTGGTTGAAAATGGCTCAGTGGTTCCAAAAAGAAGTGTAGGAGCACATGTAGGAGCATTTGAATTTTCATATAAACAAAATAATATCAAGTCAGTATTGTGCAATTTTATTTCTACTGCCTACAGTAACACACATTATGCAGTATTAAACCATCTAGTTGTATTCTTGATTACTTCAAATTAATGGTTTGTTTTCTTTTTACTGGATTTACAGACAGTTGTGAATGTCAATAATTAGAAATAAAAACAGTAAACTAAAATAGATCATGAAGAAAATATCACCCAATTAATGTTTGAATTATAAAAATTTAAACAAGAAAATAAGAAAATAAGACAAACGGTTTTTTCAATACAGCAGTGTTAACTAAGGTTTTTTTTTCCTCTTTATTCAACAACAATGCTTTTAATCTAACTTGAAGAATAATCTAGAATGTCATGCATGTCTCAACCAGCAACAAGTTTGAGTAAAATTGAAATTGTAACCGCAATACTTTAATCATTCTACGACCCACAACTTCAAATACAAACATCCAAAATGGAACTGTTCTATGGTAATTTTGATGTCTGAAATTTTTCCAACTAAAAAATAAATGCCACACCCTTCAATTCATTAATTAACCCCAAAGCAAATAAGGGAGGACATTATCAAAATAAACAATAGTGTACATGGAAATTTTCATTCTACTGGTACTATTTATTAAAGTGCAGATATCAAAGAAAGACAGATAGGGGAACAAGGTTTCATTAAATATCTCCATTTTCAATGATGGAGACAATAAAGGTTGTAGAAAATGAGGCAGTACTACCAAACACCAAACCTTTTTCAAATATATTTAAAAACTTCACACATAATATCAATAAAGATAAATCAAGAGCTATGTGGATAATACTAGCCTGATCTTGAGGAATACGACATTTATTTTGATTATGCTTCACATTATGAGGCACTGAAAACTTATCTCAAAAAGAAATGGAGATTTGATAATACAAATATTCAACTGTACTTCTGATATCAGAAAGAATTCAATTCTAAGTCTCTTAAAATCATCAGATTTATGACAATAGCAGTACATTTCAGAGGACATATACAAAAATTTTGTTTAAAATGTAAAATTGCCATTTTTCTCTTCGGAATATCAATATTTCTAAAACATTGTTAATGTAAAATCACATAACAGACATAATGTGAAAATACTGATCAGGTATTATGAATTGACTAGGTTTATCTCCTGTTAAAGTATCCAATGTCTAATGACCCAGACTTTATTTCACAATTTTAGAGTTACCTGGTAGATGATTGAAACAAAGACATAATTTTGAAGGACTACATTTACATGTATATGATAGAAAATGACTGACTGAAAATATAACTGAAAGATTAAAAAAGATTTTATTTGAAAAAAAAAATTCTAAAAAGTTCACTAAAAAGTTATTATCTGTGCCATTATACATTGGATATCTTGTATGTTCGAAAATCAACTGCAGGAAAAGTCATACAGCATCTCCAAAATAGACAATAAAACACTTTTTAATCCATTTCATTAGAAAGGTGAATCAAATTTAAGTACCAAAGAAAGATGTCTGTCTAACATAAGCAAGGTATGCAAGTCACTTGATCCACACTACTATATAGTCACTAAAAGGAAGAACTAATACATGATACAGCAGATACACAAGCACCAACAAAGATACCCTGTTCTCAGAGGAACACAGATCACTAACACTAGAGTAATACAGCTTTCTCCACAATCAGTTTTGACCACTATCTGATACTTTCAGTTTGTTTTTTTTTTTTCAGACATACATGAGCTTAAAGCACTATTATAAAGCCTGATTTCAGTGAGAAAAGCGATAAATATTATTCAACTGGAATGTTTTTAAAAGTAAATGAATTTTTTAACCACTGACCCAAATATTTTGGATTTGTTTCTTTTTTTGTCACGCAAAAATCATTATGAAGGAAAGCTGAGTTTACAACAATGTATAACAATAAAAGATGTACTTGTCTGACAGACATAACAACCTAGTAAAAATCCACTAGGCATTTTTATCATCAGCTACAGGTTTATGTAGAAAGTGTTCTAAATGACTAAGGTTTGGGGGGAGGCTCTTCCGACGCCAATCTAAATGAGCTGGTGGGGAGTCTTCCTCAATGGTGATCTTATCATCAAAGTCCAGTGTGAGAGCCAAGACCTGATCATCATCCAACATAGGTCCTGTGCTCACCACACTCTCACAGTCTGAACTCTCCCCATCATCTCCACTGGGAATACTGAGCACGCTCGATTGAGGAGAGATACCATTAGCATTCTTGGACTTTCTACTACTTCGAGACTTGCCCTGAGATCTTGTTGATGAACGAGTAGGTTTTAAAGGAGCACTCTGGATTCCTGCTAAGGGGTCCATACCTGAGTCTATTTTGAGTATTAACCCTCCAGCCTGAAGTTTCTTTCTTGAACGAGTAGGAGATTCTGTTTTGTTAAGTCTTGAGGGGTCAGATGAGGATTGACCTTGATCTACCTTTACTGGATTTGGCAGAGAGTGTCTCAATGATTGACTCCTGTCACGTTGGTCCTCAGTGAACACATCATCCTGTATTGGAACACTACGAGTTCTTAAAGCTGGTCTGTGAGGTTCTGGGAGGGACTTGTACTCACTCTCTAAACTTGGCACTGGAAACTCCTCCTCTTCAGCATTGTCCACAGCTTTTAAGTAACTGGCATTCCTTGCTTTTTCAGTGGATGGATGTATGACAGAAGGGGGTATAAAATCCTGTGTATCAGACCCAGAATGTTGTCCCTCACCATATGAGTGACCAGAGTCTCTGTAGGGGGGAGGGGAGGGAGTTTCAGATCCCACCCCAGCTCCCCTCTCTCCCAGCTCATCATTTCTCCTTTTCTCCATTCTTTGTTGGTGGATTTCATCACTGATTGTCTCTAGGTTCCTAAGGGCCTCAGAGTACATGGTTTTGGCTGAGCCAACATCTTCTTCCAGAATTTTAATCCCTCGCTTCTGTTCCTGGGAGAAACAAATTAAAATCTTGCATTGAAATTACATTTTCATTAAATTTTTATTTAAAATTACAAAAGAAGCCATTTTTTATAATTTGGAATTTATTCTATTTAATTCTGAATATTCATAAGAAAATATGTTTACCAATTCTCAACAAGTTTTGGATACATTTAAATTGAGGGTTTCAGTGACCTGAACTCTTACCTCCATTGTTTGATTAAATTTGGCCTTCATTTCAAAGTATGGCCTGAAAGAGAAATTGACATGTACTTCAAAATTTTGTAACATCAAAACTATGAGCAAGTAAGAAGCATTGGCCATCTGTTCATAAACAATATTGTACACAGATGCATACAGCTGACTAAAAAGTACTTTGAAAGTTATTGAACCACATACTACACAACCTTTTGCAGATTACACTTCATGAACTAGGGGATTTCTTTTTCATTACGTACCAAAACTGGCCCTTGCTTCTATTTAGAATTCCTCAGTTTATATTCCTACCTACCGACCCTATTTTATTTCAGCATGTAACAGTTAACAAACATATATTTTTGTTTGGCCTTATACCATACAGTCAATTTTGTTACATGTATTACACCAAGTACAACTGTCTACATCTATTTTCATGTATGACAGTGCTTATCATCACTGCTCTATAGAACAGTTGTTATGGAGAATAAAAACACATATATATGTCCTATAAATATCAATCCATATTTCTTATACCTGTATGGGGCATTTATTTGGGTGAATACACATACATATTTAAAAAAAATGTCTTTTAGGTAAAGAGTATGTCTATTTGAAGAAAATATCAATTTCATAAACATGGCTTTCACTTATTTAGCAGTTTTGGTGTTGAATCATATGGAAATAAAATGATATACAGAAAAAGATACATGTAGAAGTTGCATGTTTAATGAGAGGCAAGATGAAATGCAGCCTAGCAAAAAGATACCATAATGAGTTGATCCATTTCAATCACAGACAAATAACAAAGCTTTTCATGTTAAAGGTAGAAAAAAATGTAATGGTTAGGACAATTAAAATACAAATGTACCAAGACTAAAGCATACCATAGCAATTCCCCATCCAGAGTCATGCACTAATGACTTGGCAGAAAATGAAGTACTGCTATCTTGTTAAAAAACAGAAAAAAAGGAGGAAAAAAATCTCCTTTCAGACAAAAGGGCAAAGGAAAGGCTGATGTGTGAAACAAAATTAAGAGAGCTGTTTAGGACTCATGCCTAGTATCAAACAACTACTTACAACATTGTTAAATGATATTGGTTTACAAGATCACTCATCTGTAGGAAACTTCGACGAGTTGAAAAACTATGAGCAGAAATAGGTAAATGCATGTTATAGAGGAATAAAGCCAAATTTCCATAAACCAACACAGACAAATAAATACATACAGTTACCTTAAAGAATGTTTTAGTGATAATTGAAAATGAGCAGTAATTCATACATATCCAATACCCAGTGATCAGTCCAAAACTTAAATTGGTCATAGCAAAAACAAACAAAAAAGACAGCCATCCATGCAAGTCCATTTCCAGAAGACTTGGTTTTCAACCTTAGTTCTTAAAGTGCCATCAAAAATATGTGTCAATGTTTCAAAAATATAAGATACACATGATAAAATGTAAATTTACCAGAGATATAATGAATTTATCACCCAATGTTAACTTGTGTTTGGAAGAAAAAAAAAAGATGTGGGATGTAACCAGAAGTCTCTGACAAGACTGTAGCTCTACTGGTTTGTACTTAAAAGTAGCACTTGGACTTGAAACTTTGCAACAGCAATACATAGAATAATGATCCTTGGTGTAGTCTCTTTTTGTTTTATTGAGACTTTTGTATTATTAAGATTTAATGCAATCAGACTAAATCTGTAGGAGGAGTAGCCTTTTAAAAGAATTTTACAGAAATTTCAATTTTAGTAACCATGACAACATCATTCAACAAAATCCAAAAAACAATAAAAACAATTTTGTATCATAGTGTAGTCTACTTGTGTGCCAAGTTATACTGAAATCAGATCAAAACTGTAGGAGGAGTAGCATTTTGAAAGTATTTCAAGGAAATTTCTATTTTTAGTAACCATGGCAACACTGTTCAAAGAAATCAAAAACCGATAGATAGAATTATGTGTCTTAGTGTAGTCTACTTGTGTGCTAAGTTATATTGAAATCAGACCAAAACTGTAAGAGGAGTAGTGTTTTGAAAGTACTTCCCAGAAATCTCTATTTTTAGTAACCATGGCAACACCGTTCATTGAAATCAAAAACGGATACAAAGAATTATGTATCTTAGTGTAGTCTACTTGTGTGACAAGTTATATTGAAATCAGACTAAAACTGTAGGAGGAGTAGCGTTTTGAAAAATTGTTTACAGATGGACAGACAGACCGAACGACGGACACCTTACTATCCCATAAGCTCTTCTGGTCTCTGACCTGTAGAGCTAAAAAGCAGATTTTTTTTTCCCTGTATACATATAAGAGTGACAGGTGTTGATAATGAATTGACATACTTAGATTTGGCTATAGCTCTCTTTAGCTCCCTCTGTAAATGATGGACAACTTCCTCTGTGTCCTGGAATTTTATCATGGTATTTCTGTGGTCCTGTTCACTTGCATTCCTCTCCTTTTCAGCTTCATTCACCTACCAATAAGATGAAAATTATCATACAGTGCTTATGAAATTTTTATATTGAGGTTTTTCCCCTTATTTTAGATTCAGGGACAGACATCAACTTTCAGATTCAATTGCCCTTCGGGCAAGTGAACTCAAACTTTGACTTGTCCAAATGCAAAACTTGGTTACCCAAAATATAAGAAAGAAGAGAAAACCGGTAACTAAATTTATTATTGTAAATTAAGTGAGATATTACTCTATATATGGCAAGTTAAGTGCCAGAAGAAAAAAAATGATGTGCCGGTGATGCTACAATTTAAATACTTGTAACTCACACTGCCATGCAGCAATATTTCCTTTAAAATAAAATTCATATCTTTGAAAATTATTTTCTGTACGATCTTTTTGTAAATTTTGAATTTTTTCCCCTGAAAACTGATGCCACGCTAAAGGAAATCAGTTTCCATGTTTCGAAACATACATATCCTGATCAGAATACATCGTGCGCCGAGAATAACTGGTGTTCTTTATGTTCTGTGATTGAAGGAACTATTTTATATTCATAATAAGAATGTAAAGAAAGTTGTCAGACGAAAAACGTATTTTTGTCAACAACCACGAAAGAAAAATGGAATAACGAACCTGATTTTTAATAAACTGTATGATCTAGAAACGCTACCGAGGAATTTTCAAATACAAAAACAATGTCATATTCCTGGTAGAAATCAGACGTTCAATTTATTGTTTTGTTTATAAACTAATGTAAGATAAAAAAAAAAATCTATCAGAAATATTCACTTGCCCGATCGGACAAGTACATCAGCAGTTTCACTTGCCCAAACTGAGAATTTACTTGCCCCGGGCAATCGGACAACCGTTAATGTCGATCCCTGAGATTTCTTTGTAATAATCATACTACCTTACATTATTATTACGGTAGTCTTCTATAGTGAAAATATTCATTGTAACATTTTAGGGCACAACAAGTCTGTTATTTGTTGACATATCTTTCCCACAGTATTTAAATCACTGTAACTTCCCAACTGTTCTTCTAATAATATTTGTTATTTTCATAGCTTTTATGACCTATCAATTACATTCCATTAAAAAAAAAATAAATAAATAAATCCTACTATTAAATATTCCATGGGAATTTGTACACATGTTATGTTAACAAAAATTTTATTTGAACAGATGTTGATGAGGAGCCAGAAATAAAATATTAGTGTTGGGGACCTTCATTGTGGCATGATTCAGCATCTCTTGCCAGGCAGGGTCTGATGGTTCCTCCCTACACATGTAGCCCTGCTCAGCTAACTGTACCATTTCCTTTGCTGCCTCATGCATACTGCATGCTCTTTCAAACCTCAATGCTGCCTTCTGGGTCTCAATGTGGGCCTAATGAATAGTAACAATAAAAGGCTAGAATACAAAGTTCAGATATTCCTTTATTTTAATGAAATCAAAACAAATTGTATATTTACTATAAACATGGTTTTATTGAAGGGTTGAAAGTTTTTGATATTTAAGAAATATGGCGGGTGAAAACGGTGATCTTTAATAAGAATGTGAAAGTTGATGAGTGTAAACTTTGACGATTTTTGGTCGTTTGTCAATTTCGTCAATGTGTCCACATCGTCAAAGTTCCCACTTTTACCTGCAATTGAAGTGTTTAGTCTATTCATCTTGGCTTATAGATGGTTTTAATAAGCAAGAGTTATTTCCCCATGGCCGCCATATTGTAGGTCAACATTCCCAGATCCCTTCATTATTCAACCAAGTTCAATTTGTTATACTGGGCACTGAGGTGAAGATAACACTGTTTTTCTAATGAATATATGTTTGTTAAAGCATCTTTTAATTCATAATTACAATACTGTAAATATTTTCCCCATGTATTTCTGGCAGGCATGATTTAATTTGGTTGCTCAAAGATGAAAATTCACTACTTTGACCTCTAAAATGATGGCCAAGGGGAATAACTCCGGGGAAAAATACGTCATAGGAAAACTATCTATTAAAATGTTGTGAATTATATTATTCATATAACTTTAAACTGCATGACATGCAGTTTTTCACACCAAATTAACTTGATTCTATTTTTTTTTTAAAAATTATTACTGTGTATACACAGGGGTGTTTGATTACCTTGTGAATTTCACCTACAGTAGACAGGGATAAGATTACTGTGGAATCATTAATATTTGTGGGGGCCAATTTTTGTGGATTGCGCAAATTTTACAGGTTCGAGTGGACGTAATTTCAGGTATTCTCTTATACCTACAAAAGGAAATATGTCTTTGTAACCCTTCTTTATTAATTCATAAAAGATTTAAACTCATGGATGAGAGACACCCATGATTCCACTGAGCCATTACGAAATCAAATGTTTCCACAGTAGTTATCTCCAAGGCACATGACACCTGTGAATTTTATATTGGATAGTGAATTGCACTTTTTTGGTCAATATATTTAGTTCATGACTTATTTGTCTTTTTTATGGCACCATTTTAAACTTGAAATTTACTCAGTTACTTAACTTATGCCATTTTCACTTCAAAAGTACATGTACTTAGGATTGTTGCAGGCCTGTAGGAAGTAATTTCAGTTTGGGGGGCACAACCATATATTTTCAGTTTGGAGGGCAACATCAACTTTCAAAAATTCCTTGACAAGCCAAAAAGTCATCAAACGTTATTATTGAGGGGGCACAAGCATATAGTAGCTGTGCTTTCTATAGTATTCTATACATCGGCAAAACTATTGGGTTCCTACGGCTATGTGTTGAAGCAATTCATTGAATCTTAATCAAACATGGTGATCAGTGATATTATTTGAAGAAATCAGGAAATTAATTTAAGTATAATTTGAACCTTTTGAAAGAGAGAGGGAGGGTTAAATCATCTTCGCTAGCCAAGGGTTTCTGATACGCTACTCTCCTCATACACCCTTGGCATACGGTGCTGACAAAAGACGGGATTGTTTTCGTCACGTGATCACAATTCTTACCAGGTACGCACAGATTGCGTCATCGACAGAAATAAAAAGCGTATTTAAAAAAAATAATGTTTTTAAAGAATAATTAACAAGAAGGTATTGAGTTATGTTAATTTGTTATTTAAACATGTTAAAATGCAAATCTAGATCTTCAGTATTGATTCTTAATCACATATTTTGCACATAGCTTAAGATATTGGAAGACACCATATAGCTATTCATAGAATGGCATGTTATCTTACGGATCGTTGTTTACTTGCGTTTTTCATTCCCCTAATTAAAGAGTCAAGATATATCCCGAACGCAAATATCGTCATTTACAAAAAAACAATTGCTGATTGCTCGAACGATGTCGATCAACTCCAATCACAACTTGAGAAAAAAATCCCAACTTTTTTAACACCGTATGCCAAGGGCTTAGGAGGAGAGTAGCGTATCAGAAACCCTTGGCTAGCGAAGATGGGGTTAAATATGCATTCTGATATAAATGATTTTTTGTTATTTATTCTTTTTTTACTGATCTACCTTAAATAACGATTTTTAATAATTCATGAACTTGAAACTGCCAGGACTTGAATATGACTAATGAACATATGAAAAAAAAAAGTCTCTATACGTAGTGGATATTTCTTTGGGGTGTATTAAAAATCAATTTATGACATGTCTTGAAGATTTTAAGGATGAAGATTTTGAAAATTTTTTCACAATTTACAGGACACCTAAGGCTATTTCGCCATCTCTGCAATCCATGGCAATACACTGTACACATACTTTTAGCATTGTCACTAGCGTAAACTAGGGACCCACAATCCTTTGCTAATTATGATTTCAACAATCCTTTGTCCAAACCATTTTCTCTTGATTACCAAACAAAAAATGTAATTTAAAAGAATTTTTCTTGATTTAATGAAAATTGCACATAGATGATTGATTAAATGCTCTTTGTTTAAAAATTGCAGTTTAGACTCTGTTATGAAATTACATACAACGCTCAGTCTAGTCCCATGTCGTTTGAAGTGGCGGATCTAGGTTAAAAGTGATTAGCTATCCTATTATATAAAACTGCGCTCACTCCAATGGTCACACCTTCTATGTGTTATTTCTCACAAAATAACTTTTCCAATTTGCCTCAGCAAGACCAGTCAGATGAAGCAGAATCTGCACAAAATTCTACACACTAGACTCTGTTGAACATACTTTCATGCTAAAAACCATGAGTCACAATGAAAATTTACTCTCCTATCAAATATAACTCAAGAAAAAAATCATTTGTTCAGACTTTTTTTTTTAAAGCTAAAAGCAATCTATATCTTTTTTTTTTAAAATAAAACTTGTCCACATACATCTTTGGCTTTCATTCTGGCATCATAGTAAGGTCGAGCTTTCTCCACACAGGAGCCCAGTTTTTTTGCCAAAGCATTGAGTTGTTGTGTGGAATCTGTGAGGGCTTGTCTAAAGCTTGCTCTAGCATCCTAAAATATATATATGTTAACGAATAAACAAAGCAACAAATAGACAAAAAAATGTGCATTTTATATAGAAATCAACATATCCTAATCCAATAAAGTTATTTGTAATATTGTACGCATCTTTCATCATCTGTCAGGAAAAAAAATCCATGTAGTTTTGAAACTTAAAGTGAGATAATATCATGAATTCAATATCAAAGTACTTACATCAAGTTCCAATTCTAATTTATTTATTTCTTCTGATGCTTTATTCAATCTTTCTAATTCACCCTATTAGTAAAAAACAGAAAACAATAAAATGGACTCAAAATTCAATGCATAATCACAGAAAAAATTATGTTGTACACATTGTAATGTTACAATATAAAAAAAAGAATCCAAACAATATCGCCACTTCTTGGTTCATATGCACTGATATTTGTACCGTGTCTACAGTATTTAAATTCAAAACAAAGAGCTGTCAAATTCAAGTGTTTGAAAACACTGACATTTATACGGGTAAAGAAGAGTATTACACGTATTTCTAATACACTGTTATGTAAATTGAACGTATTATTTATCTACAGATCATACATGAATTCTTGGATCTAAAGATTCGTCCTCTAAATCATCAAGACAAGCAGGTGATAGCCGACCATCTCGGTCGGCCATCTTTATTTTGTATTAAAGGTTACTCTAATTAACGAAGGAAAAGTTGTACAGCAAATTATATCGTATTAAAAATTATCAATTATTTTTTTAATAAAATTTGTATATATATTTAATAAAACAAATTTTGGATTGGTATTTTAATTAAGAAAAAAATATTAATGCAACATTGATAATGTTGCACTGAATAGTAAAATATGCGTTTATTAGCGCCACCAAAACGCGGAAAGAGATGCTGGAGAGTAGTCCGCGGGAAATTCGTGAAGAGTTATGGATTTCAGAAACGCAAATTACCTGGGGTTGCCGGTTGGAAAGGTGGTTTTGTTTACCTTAATACTGTTGATTATGTATATCATGTTAAGGACATACGCAACGTACCTTACCTTCTGATAATTTTTCAAGATATTCTTAATTTAAGATTATAGTGCCATCAGATGTTCATAGACAAAAAATCAGCATGCATTACCAGGGGTTTTGAAAAGATATCAATTGATGAAAATTCTTGTATAATTTAAAAAAAATTTACAAAAATTACTAAACATATATTCTAGATGTTTTGTTTATCAAAACTTGTTTTAGAGGAAGTGTACAATAGCATATATAGACATTAAAATGTAGCACACAGTTCCTTTAAGTATTGGAACTCTTCAACTCTAGGGAAAAAGACAATGAAGTTCAAACTATGTTGCGTATGTCCTTAAGTTTCATTCATTGAAATGAGCATTTTTGGTAGACATAAACTAGTTTAATACCCCAAAACTGCAGTGATAAAAGAAACATCAGGGGGTGATTTTAAATAACATTTTTTCAGCCTTTTCTTTCATATTCCTCTCAACTTGACCAAAAAATTACCAACCATTTCAAAATACCTCTTCTCATTACATCACAATTAACAGACAAACATGGGTACCCTCTCGCAAATTCAAGAGGCAATTTTTCTGACTTTTAAAAATACCTGACCTCAGATAATAAAGAAGAAAATATTTAAAAGATAATTCAATATCTATTTAACCTTTTTGGGGTATGTTTAATCTAAATATGAATTTAATTTATTGAAAATAAGAATTTTTATAGCCTTAAAATACTAATAAACATACCTACCCTCTTTAATTACTGCACATTGAAAATACAGTATTCATGTATTAAAGTCTACACAGATACCATTGTTTCATTAGGTATATGTATATTTCTGTAGAATGAATACACTTCTGAAAGAGGCTTTTGAGATTAACAAGTCCCTACATAATGATGGCTTACATATTTGCCAAGTAATTTGGTATAGTTTTGATACTAATATTTTTAAGGAATTAGGACTGGAAGCAAAAGATTATGTAATTTTTGATAAAACATACAATAAAATTTTATACAAAAATTCAAAAAGACATTACATGAAAAAATAAGAAATGCACCAATAGAGACTTTCATTTTGCTGTGTTCCTGTAACATTTGGTTTCTGGAATCCCGTTCCAGGACAATATCACAGACACTGTCCATGGCTACAGGGAATGGCCATGCATCACATCACAACAGGACTGGTCATCTCATTACCATTAGAGACTGGTCATCCTATCACAGCGGAGAGTATGGGTGGTCATCTCATCACAGAAGAAACTGATTATCATGCCTTGCATGACGTATAGTCTCCTAAACTAACACCATATAGTGGTCACTCCCTGTCCATGGCAGCAGAAGCTGGAGCATCACATCAATTAAAGCCTGATTAACTGGCCTGCAGGTCTGTCCTTAAATTTCCTATTATGGTTAAATCAGTTCATTCCAAAATCATTGGATGGCTAAGTACATGCATGTATATTAATACATGTAGAAGTTTTAAAAAATATATATATATATGTATTTAAGGAGGATCATTACACCCATAGTTTATTTTAGATTTCATTACAGCACCACTTATTACAAAGATTTCAAATATCCAAATGGAGGTTATGATACGATAAATATTTTTTAAAGATTTTTTAATCTTTTTTCTGATTTTGGTTAAATGTTTTATTTCAAGTTTCTGATTGATAGTATTGCAGAAATCTCAGTGTCAAGTGATGGATATCATCTTCAGATATGTAAGCAATATAATAACACTTCATAATATTCAATATTATTTTTATTAGAAAAAATAATTCCCCTCCCCCCCCCAAAAATAATTAATGTGATTTCTTCTTAATCTTTGCATGAATAATTCTGAAAATCAGTTATAAATAGACAAGGAATGTATATTAATGAATACCGAGTGGCAAATTGAATGAAAAGTGTTTTAATGAAATGAATATTCCTATTTAAAAAATAATTGGAATAAAAAGTCCACTTGCAAGAGTATAAATCCCCCTGACTCAGAACACTCAGGTACGGTTGAACATATCAGATTCTGAATCAGAAAAAGCTAAAGTTTCTAGCATAAATATACATTTTTCAAAGAAAAAAGACAAGCACACAAACTAACAAGAGTTCAGTACTCTAAAAGCGCAAGTCAATTATAATTTATTTCAAGGAGGTTGTAAATTTCAACTCGAATTTCTTCTATACGTACAACAGTTGTCAGTGGTAGAACTTGCTGCTTTCGCTATGACATTGTACACTACTTGGGTAGCGAAGATTTGACTGTCATTCTCTTTGGTCTCTACTCACAATAACCCTTCTTCGTTTGTGATTTATAATGAATCCGTTACCTTGTTCTCATTGTTTAAAACGTCGGACGTAGTCTATTTTTAGAGCGTTTTAAAGATTTGGATCATCAGCAAAGCGAACCTGTACAATTCGTCCTTTAAATGAGCCTCCTTAAAAAAAATCTGTCTATTTTCTATTTCATCATATTATGGAAGACTTCAAGAGTGGAAAGATTTTACAATTCTTATCTGCATTTCATGTAATATATTTAATAGGAGGAGTTGTAAAGACAGAGGATGGGAGAGATTGAAATTTAAAAAAAATACTTCAGAACATTTTTAGGGCTTTCCCATTACAGACTGTGCATATCACAGTGCATTTTCAATACATTTGAGGTTCATAACATAAGCAAAGTGCAGTGCTAATTGCTATTATAATATATTATTTATATAACTTATCTTTTATAGGAACTTTAACAAAAATACTTTATCCTCTTAGTCTACAGAGAGAGAGAAAAAGGAAATTGAGCAGTACATATCTGCATCTTTCAGATTACAAATAGGCATATATATTTTCTTTCTGTATTTCTATGCCCTAAAAATGCATGCGTAAGTGATGATCTTTACAGTGTAATAACTTAATGCCTTCTCTTCTGTTTCTTCACAAGCCAGGCTTGAAAGATCTTTGGTCCATCATCCATAAGTAGGGGATTAGTGGACCAAAGACATCCACTTGCAAAGGTGTCTTTTAATATTCACAATTATTGTTTTAATATAAAGGAACTTTACACAACACAATGAGCATTAAAAGAGATAGATATTCTGAAATTAAAGTTGTCTGATTCCTTTGTTGAAGACTCAACTGCCCTTTCATCATGTTTATAAGCAACTGTTTTCCTAAGCACTGACTGCTATCTGGGAGTGCAGTCACACAGAGTTATCCCTCTTTTCTTTATAGCTATATGCTCCTTTTCCATGGATTCTGAACATGCTGAAGAAGGGAACACCAAGTCATTTTGCTAATTTGGTGTGAATGTCAAACACAAGCGGGAGAATCATGAAAGGAGAAGAAATTTATAAATTTTTCTAAATTTCTAGTGCAATTTATTGATTGGAAGACTTGAAGATTAGGATACAGTATTTCTTATTGTTATTACTTAATCACTCAGATAACGCATGTTATCGTCATTTGTTAACAATATTTGCATAGTTCTGTGTAATTCTCAGTAATCCAACTCCATTCACCCAGAATGTCAAGATGGAGTCAGAGATATAAACAAAAAAGGCTAAATATTACAGCACAAATTAAACATATGACATTGATGGTAATGTGCGATAATCTTCAGTCATGCTTGCTGCATTTTAATGAAATAAAATCAACAATTTGTATTTATAGATGTTTTGGGTGGTAAGAAATTTTATAAGGAAGCCCTTGCATTGTGAGATTTTCTGCATCACTGGCTTTATTATGACCTCCCGTTTAATCATATGTATTAGTAGAGTGCAGAGATTTAAATCTAGGTATAATTTTTGTAGATCTATTGGAGGACATTGTCGTTTTTACTGCCTAGGAGTCACATTCTATGTAGGATGGTCCAGTCGTCCCTGTGAACTCGTTCATAGCACGTGGAATTTCTGCGTCCAAATTTGTAGGTAAGTTACATTGAATTTTAATTAATGAAAAAAATTACCATCAATATTAAAAATGATAAAATATAACAGTTAATGGAAGCTAAACCCACCCACAACACTTAAAATGTTGAATCGTGAATAGAAAATGGCACTTTAAATTGATAATTGGTTTTGTATATGGTATGTGTATTGCATAATATAATTGTTGCTCTCTTTCATAGCTGAATTCAAACGGACTTTCTTTTTTTATCTTTTTTTTTTTTGGAATGAAAATAGCATGAAACAAATGTATTTGCATGTCTCAAAGATACAAGCATCTTAAGCATACTGATTAAAATAGAAAAAATTAACAATACAAGTGTTTCATATTGAGTATGTTTAAATCCATTGCTAACTTTAAAAAAAAAGAAAGGGTGCAACTCTTTTGTTTTAAAACAAACAACTTTTTCGACATTTTGTTTAGATTTTTACGCAGTAACCAAATTATATGCAAAAGATCATAACCCTTCATAGCTCATTGATTTTAAATGAGCCCTTACATAAACACCTCATATTGTCATGTAAAATTGATCATCTTCACTCTGTATTTTACCAATAATTTAAATTCAATAAAAGTGAAATTCAGTTTTACTCAATTGAACATTATATATGCTCCTCTTCTGTTGACTTATTAACTTAATGCGAAAATTATACATTTGAAGAATTTCCTCTTGTCACATTTCAAGACCAGAACAAACAGTTTTTGGAGGAGTGAAGGGG